GCGCCCGGCAGGTGGCCAAAGGACACGCTGCTGGGCCGCCAAGGGCGCCGGGAGACGTTTAGGGGCAGCCTACTGCCTAACGTTGGTTGCTTTCTGAAACCAGAAGATTATCTCCAGGAAAGCGCCCGGCAGGTGGCCAAAGGACACGCTGCTGGGCCGCGAGACGTTTAGGGGCAGCCTACTGCCTAACGTTGCGTTCTGAAACCAGAAGAAAATCTCCAGGAAAGCGCCGGGCAGGTGGCCAAAGGACATGCTGCTGGGCCGCCAAGGGCGCCGGGAGACGTTTAGGGGCAGCCTACTGCCTAACGTTGCGTTCTGAAACCAGAAGAAAATCTCCAGGAAAGCGCCCGGCAGGTGGCCAAAGGACATGCTGCTGGGCCGCCAAGGGCGCCGGGAAGGGTTTAAGGGCAGCCTACTGCCTAACGTTGCTTTCTGAAACCAGAAGAAAATCCCCAGGAAAGCGCCCGGCAGGTGGCCAAAGGACACGCTGCTGGGCCGCCAAGGGCGTCGGGAGACGTTTAGGGGCAGCCTACTGCCTAACGTTGCTTTCTGAAACCGGAAGAAAATCTCCAGGAAAGCGCCCGGCAGGTGGCCACAGGACATGCTGTTGGGCCGCCAAGGGCGCCGGGAGACGTTTAGGGGTAGCCTACTGCGTAACGTTGCTTTCTGAAACCAGAAGAAAATCTCCAGGAAAGAACCAACAGAAAATCTCCAGGAAAGCGCCCGGCAGGTGTCCAAAGGACATGCTGCTGGGCCGCCAAGGGCGCCGGGAAGGGTTTAAGGGCAGCCTATGGCGCCGGGAGACGTTTAAGGGCAGCCTACTGCCTAACGTTGCGTTCTGAAACCAGAAGAAAATCTCCAGGAAAGCGCCCGGCAGGTGGCCAAAGGACACGCTGCTGGGCCGCCAAGGGCGCCGGGAGACGTTTAGGGGCAGCCTACTGCCTAACGTTGGTTGCTTTCTGAAACCAGAAGATTATCTCCAGGAAAGCGCCCGGCAGGTGGCCAAAGGACACGCTGCTGGGCCGCGAGACGTTTAGGGGCAGCCTACTGCCTAACGTTGCGTTCTGAAACCAGAAGAAAATCTCCAGGAAAGCGCCGGGCAGGTGGCCAAAGGACATGCTGCTGGGCCGCCAAGGGCGCCGGGAGACGTTTAGGGGCAGCCTACTGCCTAACGTTGCGTTCTGAAACCAGAAGAAAATCTCCAGGAAAGCGTACCCGGCAGGTGGCCAAAGGACATGCTGCTGGGCCGCCCGCCCAAGGGGGCGCCGGGAGACGTTTAGGGGCAGCCTACTTCCTAACGTTGCTTTCTGAAACCGGAAGAAAATCTCCAGGAAAGCGCCCGGCAGGTGGCCAAAGGACATGCTGCTGGGCCGCCAAGGGCGCCGGGAGACGTTTAGGGGCAGCCTACTGCCTAACGTTGCTTTCTGAAACCAGAAGATTATCTCCAGGAAAGCGCCCGGCAGGTGGCCAAAGGACATGCTGCTGGGCCGCCAAGGGCGCCGGGAGACGTTTAGGGGCAGCCTACTGCCTAACGTTGCGGTGGCCCAAGGACATGCTGCTGGGCCGCCAAGGGTGCCGGGAAGGGGCTTAAGAGCAGAGGGCGCCGGGACGGGTTTTAAGGCCAGCCTAGTGCCCCCGGCAGGTGGCCAGGAGACAATGTCAAGGAAAGCGCCCAGCAGGTGGCCAAAGAACATGCTGCTGAAAGGCCAAGGAACATGCTGCTGAAAGGCCAAGGGAAAGCACCCGGCAGATGGCCATAGGACATGCTGCTGGGCCGCCAAAGGCGCCGCAAAGCCACTTTTTCTCGGGCGCGCTCCCCCTGCAGATGGCTGGGGTCGGCGGATTATAGCATAAGCATAACCAAGTCTTTGGAGGCCCATTGCAAGTTTCAAACGCTGTGTTGGGGGATAAGCGATAAGCTCGTGTGAAGCTCGTGTGACGCCAAGCGTTTCCCTAATTGTAAGATACATTCAGAATTCAATGTTTCCGACTCCCAGGTAGTGAATGTGACTGCAAGCTGATCATATATATCATATGATTTCATATGACGTCATAATATGAGTATCATATGAGTCATATAGGTGAACGATTTTTGTCTCAAAAAAATCGGAGAGATTGGTAAAGATATATATAAAGAACCGACATTCAGCGCCTCGCGATCAGTCTGGAGGATCCATGGGCTGGGTGGAACAATCAGAGCGGACAGAATGGGAACGATTGGTCCAAGAGCGCTCAGGCGAGGAGAGTTCAGGGCGTCTTTTCAATTCTTTTCATATGTTTCATGTTCGAAAAAAAAGTTGACATGTTTTGACACATTTTGAAACAACATGGAATGTGTCTAACAACGCGTTCAAAATGGGCTCCACTGAGTTCTACTATCGTTTGAATTCACCGTGTTCAATGTGAAAAAGAATGTGTCTTACATATCCTTACATGTTTTATTCCGAACTCTTTCCATCGCTTCACAATAGCTCAAGCAATCAAGGAGAGAATTCGGCTTGCAACACAAATCGCAATATAAAGATGTATAAAACATACTCGATGTAGAGAGTCGCTGTGTTTCATTGTGTTTCAAGAGATGCTCGTTTGAGAGTGGCACTGTGTTGAAGCAGCAACTACCCTGAACAGACCTTGGTAGGTTTTTGTGAGGCTTATGAAACCATGCTAGTTGAATCTTGTCGTACTTGTTTAATTTCTGATACTGGAGGGCAATTGAGCCGCAACGTCATTGGTGAAAACAATTTTGATTCTATCTCCGTTGGGGTTTTGTCTTTCAAAAACACCGTGCTTTGAACATTTTTGAAACAGGTCTGAAAGTTTCTAGAACAATCAGGTTGGTCCAGAGGAAACACTGTTAAGAAGGACCCATGATGACCCATGTCCAGACCAGCGTTTGCCACCAGGACAACTGGAAAGAGGACACCGTGACAAGACATACTCTGACGGAACACAAACGAAGGAGACAGGACAATAATCGGAGAAAACATATTTCACTTAAAGGCTTGCTTTCACTTGCAGTTTGGTTCTCATGTTCTGTATCCGTTCTTATTTGTAGACTTGGTTTGTCGTGTTCTATCGTATTATTATAGCATAAGCATAGCCAAGTCTTTGGAGGCCCATTGCAAGTTTCAAACGCTGTGTTGGGGGATAAGCGATAAGCTCGTGTGAAGCTCGTGTGACGCCAAGCGTTTCCCTAATTGTAAGATACATTCAGAATTCAATGTTTCCGACTCCCAGGTAGTGAATGTGACTGCAAGCTGATCATATATATCATATGATTTCATATGAGTCATAATATGAGTATCATATGAGTCATATAGCTGAACGATTTTTGTCTCAAAAAAATCGGGGAGATCGGTAAAGAAATAAAAAGAACCGACATTCAGCGCCTCGCGATCAGTCTGGAGGATCCATGGGCTGGGTGGAACAATCAGAGCGGACAGAATGGGAACGATTGGTCCAAGAGCACTCAGGCGAGGAGAGTTCAGGGCGTCTTTTCAATTCTTTTCATATGTTTCATGTTCGAAAAAAAGTTGACATGTTTTGACACATTTTGAAACAACATGGAATGTGTCTAACAACGCGTTCAAAATGTGTTCCACTGAGTTCTACTATCGTTTGAATTCACCGTGTTCAATGTGAAAAAGAATGTGTCTTACATATTCTTACTTGTTTTATTCCGAATTCTTTCCATCGCTTCACAATAGCTCAAGCAATCAAGGAGAGAATTCGGCTTGCAGCACAAATCGCAGTATAAAGATGTATAAAACATACTCGATGTAGAGAGTCGCTGTGTTTCATTGTGTTTCAAGAGATGCTCGTTTGAGAGTGGCACTGTGTTGAAGTAGCAACTACTGTACCCTGAACAGACCTTGGTAGATTTTTGTGAGGCTTATGAAACCATGCTAGTTGAATCTTGTCGTACTTGTTTAATTTCTGATACTGGGGTCTTGACTTAAGTCGCATCTTCGTGTTGAATCGCATCTTAATTTGCGCCGGCCATACAAAACATAGTTTTTACATGTTTTTACTCAAATCTTGTGATTTGGTATTTGCACTAAATCATACATTATTGCCGTTTTACCAGCGCGCCAGCTCGTTTTCCATTGTTTCCATAGTTGTTGACTTTCTTCTTTTTTTCCCCCCGATAGCTGGCAAGGTGTAGGGATTCTGACTTCGTGTGGGTTGGGCGCTCGGTGGTGAACGTTTCAGATCCTGTCTCCAGCAGGGTGCTGTCCAGGGTGCGGTGGCAAGCATCGCCAGCTGCTGGTCAAGGTATGTCAAGGTGCTGTCCAGGGTGCTGTCCAGGGCCAGGATGCTGCCCAAGGGGAACCAGTGCAACTCTTCTTCTTTTCTTTTTACTCTTCTCGTTTTTCAGGTCCAAAAGGGCCTTGGTGGATTGGTATGCTTTTAAGCCTCGTTTAGGCCTCGTTTTGGCTTCGTTCTTTGTGCTGCCTGTGCTGGTGCTTGTGCTTGTGCTTGTGCTTGTGCCGCTGCTGCTGGTGCTGTTGCTGCTGGCTCTGACCGGCGCTGCAGCGCAACGCCAAGGCAAAAGTCAAAAGTGCATTATGACTGCGCGCGCGCAATGTTTTGCTGATTTTTACTGGAGATCTCGAAGGAAAAAGTACATGTGGACTGCGCGCGCATGGTTTCCTTGATTTCAGCCACTTTCTGCGATTGGCAGGGTTCAGTGGCGAGCGGAGTGACTCCTTGCAAAAAACAATGCTCGTGATGTGACTTCAGCGGCGTGATGTGACTAATTAGTGTTTTTCACGGCGCCTACCACACAAGATGTGCCTTCAGCGGCGTGATGTGAGCTAAGTCGACACCCAAGTAGGTTAATTGCGCCGCAACGTCATTGGTGAAAACAATGTTGATTCTATCTCCGTTGGAGTTTTGTTTTTCAAAAACACCGTGCTTTGATTTTTTTGAAACAGGTCTGGAAAGTTTCTAGAATAATCAGGTTGATCCAGAGGACACACTGTTAAGAAGGACCCATGATGACCCATGTCCGGACCAGCGTTTGCCACCAGGACAACTGGAAAGAGGACACCGTGACAAAACATACTCTGACGGAACACAAACGAAGGAGACAGGACAATCATCGAAAAAAAACATATTGTCCGCAACCTTAACGTTCGCCCAGACTCATCATTGTGACATAACAGAGACAATTCTGTGTTGCTGGGAAGTTGCGAATCCAAGCAAGGACAAGGCGGAAAATTAGGCCACGGTGGCATGTGAAAGATACCTTGAATACAGTTATCTTCATGAGGAAACAATATCACCTGATCATCATGAGGGATCAAAATCCGCCACCCCCTATGACCAATATGCTGAACGGGCTAACAGCACGCCACCCTCTTTGGCCAATATGTTGAATCAGGTAATTACATCACCATTATCTTCATGAGGGAACAAAATCCGCCACCCCCTATGACCAATATGCTGAACGGGCTAACAAATCAACTTTATCTTCATGAGGGGTCAAACATCGCCACCTCCTCAGAACAATATGTTGGTTGCGGAAAAAAAACATCAACTTTATCTTCATGAGGGATCAAAATTAGTCACCCCCTCTGAACAATACGTTGATTGCGGGACATCAACTCCGGGCAAACGTCCAGGTTGCAGCGAACATATTTCACTTAAAGATCTTAAAGGCTTGTTTTCACTTGCAGTTTGGTTCTCATGTTCTGTATCCGTTCTTATTTGTAGACTTGGTTTGTCGTGTTCTATCGTATTATTATAGCATAAGCATAACCAAGTCTTTGGAGGCCCATTGCAAGTTTCAAACGCTGTGTTGGGGGATAAGCGATAAGCTCGTGTGAAGCTCGTGTGACGCCAAGCGTTTCCCTAATTGTAAGATACATTCAGAATTCAATGTTTCCGACTCCCAGGTAGTGAATGTGACTGCAAGCTGATCATATATATCATATGATTTCATATGACGTCATAATATGAGTATCATATGAGTCATATAGGTGAACGATTTTTGTCTCAAAAAAATCGGAGAGATTGGTAAAGAAATATAAAGAACCGACATTCAGCGCCTCGCGATCAGTCTGGAGGATCCATGGGCTGGGTGGAACAATCAGAGCGGACAGAATGGGAACGATTGGTCCAAGAGCGCTCAGGCGAGGAGAGTTCAGGGCGTCTTTTCAATTCTTTTCATATGTTTCATGTTCGAAAAAAAGTTGACATGTTTTGACACATTTTGAAACAACATGGAATGTGTCTAACAACGCGTTCAAAATGGGCTCCACTGAGTTCTACTATCGTTTGAAGATGTTTGAAGTCACCGTGTTCAATGTGAAAAAGAATGTGTCTTACATATTCTGACGTGTTTTATTCCGAATTCTTTCCATCGCTTCACAATAGCTCAAGCAATCAAGGCGAGAATTCGGCTTGCAACACAAATCGCAATATAAAGATGTACAAAAAAAATCGATGTAGAGAGTCGCTGTGTTTCATTGTGTTTCAAGAGATGCTCGTTTGAGAGTGGCACTGTGTTGAAGCAGCAACTACCCTGAACAGACCTTGGTAGGTTTTTGTGAGGCTTTTGAAACCATGCTAGTTGAATCTTGTCGTACTTGTTTAATTTCTGATAGGTATAGGTTAATGTTAACTGAACTGCAACGTCATTGGTGAAAGCAATTTTGATTCTATCTCCGTTGGGGTTTTGTCTTTCAAAAACACCGCTTTTTGATTTTTTTGAAACAGGTCTTGAGAGTTTCTAGAATAATCAGGTTGATCCAGAGGACACACTGTTAAGAAGGACCCATGATGACCCATGTCCGGACCAGCGTTTGCCACCAGGACAACTGGAAAGAGGACACCGTCACAAAACATACTCGGACGGAACACAAACAAAGGAGACAGGACAATCATCGAAAAAAAAACATGTTTCACATAAAGACTTGTTTTCACTTGCAGTTTGGTTCTCATGTTCTGTATCCGTTCCTATTTGTAGACTTGGTTTGTCGTTTTCTATGGTATTATTATAGCATAAGCTTAACCAAGTCTTTGGAGGCACGTCATTCTTCTGTAGGCCTGATCAACTTCCGGTACTTTGTCGTTAACAGTTGACCTTGTACAGTTCAGTATGAGGAGGGGCTTGAGAAATTAGGGTCAAACTCACCTCTATACTTTCATATCTATAGAATTGTATAGACATCCTTCCTTCCAGGTCAACCGTGACTTGTTTGGCTCAAGCATGACGAAAGCAGGTTGCAGCCGCTGTCCCTTGGTGTCGCTATGTTTGTTCGACTTACTTGTTGCGTTTAGCTGTTTTGGGGGGTGTTGTTACTCAATTTAAGCATCATCGAAGGAAGTTTAGAAGTCAAACTTCCGACAATATGGACAGATGAAAAGCAGAGTAGGGCAGAGGCAGAGAGAAGAGAAAGATTAGAAGAGAGAAGAGTAGAAGAGAAAGAGTCAGAAGAAACAAGATGGAGGTGCGCGAAAAGGTAGGAAAGTGGCGAAACACTGTGTTTTTCCAATGATTTGTGGCTCCGGAGGGTCGAAAAGTAGGCTCGCTAAAGCGGCGGGTGCGGAGCCAGCTGGCCAGATGAGAGATAACAGATTGCACGCCATTGTGGCGCGAAGCACATTTCCAACTCACAATGTACAAAACACCTCAGCTTCGGAGCACTTTTAGAAGTTGCAATGTCGAAATTTGTGCACGCAGTTGTGGCGCGAAGCACATTTCCAACTCAAAATGTACAAAACACCTCAGCTTCGGAGCATGTGCACGCAGTTGTGGTGCGAAGCACATTTGCAAGTGACAAAGCTAAAAGCACCTCAGCTTCGGAGCACTTTTAGAAGATGCGATGTCGAAAAAGTGCACGCCGTTGTGGTGCGAAGCACATGTGCAAGTGAAAAAGGTAAAAACATTTCACGTTCGAAGCACTTTTGGAAGTTGAGATGTCGAAAAAGTGCACGCCGTTGTGGCGCGAAGCACATGTCGAAGTCAAAATGTACAAAGCACACCAGGTCCGGACCACTTTTGGAAGTTGAGATGTCGAAAAAATGCACGCCGTTGTGGCGCGAAGCACATTTCGAGGTCAAAATGTTAAAAACACGATATGTTCGGACCACTTTTGGACGTTCAGATGTCGTTTCGCGTGGCAGGCGCAAGGGATTGTGCATCTTGTCAAAAGTGAGCAAAACGTGAGGGTTTTGTAGCATTTCCAAAAACGATGGCAGGCGTGGGACATTTGAAGAGTATCTGCAAAGATGCATTATCCGTGGCAGGCGCAGTACAAGAGACATCTTCATCAGAGCTGTTAGGAGGTCCGGGCGCTGATTTCCTGAGAGGGGTTGCATTTTGGAGCATCAGATCTTCATTTTGGGAAGATGATTTTGTGTGACAGGTGCAGCATTTCTCGTATGACCTAGCATCACTTTTTCTTGGCAGGCGCAGTACTTTAGACAGGTGGGGTGGAAAAATCGCAAAACGCATTGGTACGAGGCCGTCAGCTCTGCACTCAACGTTCCATTTTTGAAGGAAGCCTCGCAGAGTTGTTTCGTTTTTGATGTTGTCAACTTCGAAAATTGAGGAAGTCTCGCAGAATTGTTTCGTTTTTGATGTTGTCAAGTTCAAAAATTGAGGACGTCTCGCAGAATTGTTTCGTTTTTGACGTTGTCAAGTTCAAAAATTGAGGACGTCTCGCAGAATTGCTACGTTTTCCAGGTAGACAGACAGACAGGCAGACAAACAGATAGATAAATAGATAAATAGATCGTTAGATAGATAGATAGATAGATAGATAGATAATTAGATAGACAATTACAACTACAACAACTACAACTACCACTACACTACACTACACGACTGCCACAACGACGAATACAAATATATTACGCTACATTACACTACACTAATTGCACTACACTACACTAATTACATCTAATTACACTACACTACACCAATTACGCTAACAACTACAACAACAACTACAATTACAACTGCGCTACACTACGCTACACTAATTACACTCGAGCACACTACAACTGCAAATGCAACTACAACTACAACCACACTACATTACACTACACTACACTACAGTGATTACATTGCATTATGCTACAACTACAACTGCAGCTGCAACTGCAACTACAACTACCACTACACTACACATACTACACTACACTACGCTACACTACACTGCACTACACTACACTACGCTACACTACACTGCACTACACTACAGCTACAACTACACTACACTAATTACACTATACTGCACTACACTACAGCTACAACTACACTACACTACATTGCGCTACACTACACTACACTACATTACACTACACTAATTACACTGCACTACACTACAACTACAACTACACTACCTGACACTAGGCTACACTACACTATACCACACTACACTTCACAACGCTACACGGCATTACGCTGCACTACACTACACTCATTACACCACACCACGGCCACAACTGCACTTGCAAATGCATTAACTACACTACATTACAGCTACAGCTCCACCACACTACACTACAACTACAGCTACAACTGCAACTACAACTACAACTGCACTACACCACACTACATCCAGCAGTTGTGGCAAGGTGACCACTGCAACCATTGCAGCCATTCCAAAAAACACAACTCCAACCACCTGTCGGTCCATCAATGGATTCGCTCTGCCATCCGTGATTCACAACAACCAACCTCTCCTATAGGTTTTCTATTTTTGAAATTTCCGCCACCGCCTTGTGCGGTACTACTGGTATGCGTCATATGAGTCATATGAATCATATAAAAGGTGAACGATTTTTGTTTCAAAAAATCCGGAAATCCGGGGTTAAAAAATATAAAGGAGACATTCAGCGCCTTGCGATCAGCCCGGAGGATCCGTGGGCCGGGAACGAACAGAGCGGGCAGAATGGGAACGATTGGTCCAACAGCGCTCAGGCGAGGCGAACTCAGGGCATTTTTTCAATTCTTTTCATATTTCATGCTCGAAAAAAAATCATATCCAAAACAAAATGAAATATGTTTAGCAACGCATTCAAAAAGGTTTTCCACTATGTTCCACTATCATTTGAACTCACTGCGTTCAATGTGACAAGAATGCGCTTTAAAGGCCTGCATATTTGTTCATTCCGAATTTTTTCGATCGTTTTACAAAAAACTCAAACAATCAAGGCGAAAATTTTGGGTGCACCTGCTTGCAACGCATATCTCCGTGTACTAATTAAAACATATATACTCGATATAGAGACTCGGTGTGTCTCAAGAGAGGCTGGTTTGAGGGTGGCACTGTGTTGAACCAGTTGGAACGACTTTGAACAAATTTGGTAGGGTTTGATATGGTTTATGGAACCATGCTAGTTGATTTTTGTCATAATTTGTTAAATTCAAATTCGACTGGTACCTTAATTAATTGTGCCGCAACGTCTCCAAAATAACCTCAGGGTCTTGATCCCAAGCGAATGCAAAACTTAACATGGCCTGTTTCTTGACGCAACACTTGCACACAATTTCATCAAGTCTTTCCATTTTGACTTGAACCGAGAAGTGCTGGATTTGAATTTCTGCTTTGAACTCGTGATGTGTGAGAGAACTCAACCCAGGCCTGGGGGCAAGACAAGTGGAATGCTGTTGAACGGTGGGCGGGGCAGCCCAGCCAGTGAAAAAGATGTTTTTCAAGGCAATAATGTGTGTGTGTGTGTGCGTACTTGTGTCATACAGTACACGGTTTGTCTAGATGCTGCAGGTACGGGCATACACTGGGCATACCCATATGAACCCAATGTGCTAAGGTGCTAGCAAAGTATTCCACACGTTGAGACACACTTAGACGGCCAAAAACGACAATACGAACCCGTTGCCCAAGTTGTTTGTTTCACGGCTGCCGCATGACAGCCGAACACCCAGGGCGACAAATTGAAAGAGGTGGACTGGCAGGAACGGCCGCAACTTGGCCAGAAATTCTTGGCCGATGTCAGAGGTAGGTTTCAGAGGTAGTTTTCAGATGTTTTCAGGGATTCCGACATGGTTATGAAGGCCATGAAGCGGCGGTGAAGCCGCGGCAGGGCAGAAATTGCCATGACAGTGGAGTGAAGCCTTGGCTGAAGGCAAGTCAACATCCGGAAGAATTTCTACGAGGATGGAGGGGAAAACAAGTTCTGAGAGCCAAACACATGGAGAGAGAGAGAGAGAGAGCCAAACATTTTCACCAATGCGCGCTGAGATTTCCATATGACATTGGCAGGTTTGGGTTGAGAGTTCCAAACGGTTTGTCGCGCTTTTGGGAGGTTAAAACATAGCAAATGCATACCTGTTGCATATTGTTGGATTGTGTTGGAATCTCCTCATCGATGATAGTTCCTGAGCTTGATCATTTTAGACAGAATACTTGCCCTAGTGGCTCATGATTCAGCATGACTTTCTGATGATTTGCCGTCACGAAAACTAGCATCAGCTAGCTGGTGTTGCTCTTGCTTTAGCAAGAATGTTGGCGGGACTCGAACTGAAACACTTCTCCCTTCCCCCTCTCCCATAATCTATGCATCGAATTCCCTTCCTATATTCTTCGCACGTTCCAACCTTTCGCGAACAACCAAAGCAGCCACACAAGTGCAACGACGTTTCTAGACATACGTACTGTAGATACTGTAGGGACCAGTCCAACCAGTTTGCGTGAAATTGAGTTTTGCACATTTTCCTGTACTTGTCGCCAAGACATCTCCAGCTCACATCATGCAAGGTGCACAAGCTAAAGTGGAATTCCAACACTGTTTCCCTGCTAGCTCTCGTTCCCTACGCTTGGCCCCAAGTTGACTTTTCGAAAAGAACGGCCTTTGGTTTTTCTTTGGGCCGCACAAGGCTCCAACAAAGGAGCATCAGAGGTCTTTGACGGTTCATGCAGTCTGTTGCGCTTTTGCCGCACGCGCTTCAGATGCCCTCTCAGCACCAAAGTATCAGAACATTGATGTTGATAGATTATCGGAATTGTTCGATGGTTCTCTAGATTGTTGTGAAGAGTTGCCATCAGAGGAACTTTGGAACAGAAACGTCGAAGTTGCAGACAAACATGCTCGCCGAGTATTTCATTATATTTCATTGAAAATGCAAAATTTGAAAGTCTCAAGAAATGTCTCTCAAGACATCACAAGCAATGAGCAATGTGTCGACAGTGTTGACTTGGGAGAGGAGTGTGCGAATGAAGCAGCGTTGAGCCGTACTCCAGAGGAGGTCGAAAGGATTCGGCAGCACAGCTCCCAGCTCGGCGATCGTCCCTTAACAATCCGTAACATATAACATTTGAGATAGGTGAAAAATGTGAGAAAACATGAAAAAGATTGAAAAAGGAGATAATCATGTCAAACATGTGAAAAGAACATGGTTGAAATGCAGAGAGTGAATCCAATTGAGACATATTTCTGGGAATAAAGAGTTTTCTATTAATTTTTGACTAGACGAATTGACCCCACGAGTTTCCGATTTGTTCAAAGAAAAGAATTTGTTTGAAGAAAATCATTTGTCAACAGATCGTATCTCACAGAAACCTCTGATTTGAACTCCTGCTACTGAGCTCATGTCAGCCACAACATGGCCATACCCAGGTCCCATTTCATCGAGATTTTCGATGGTTGTAGAGACTCGACTAGATGTGAAAAAAGGGCGAAGTGGCACAGAGCAGAGTTGCCCATGTCAGTGAGAGGAGGAAATAGGTTGTGAATAGGGTAAGTTTCTCAGCGCTATGTGAATAGTTGGAGAAGCCTTCAAAGGATGTAAATCTGTGGCCATTCAATGAGGTCAGATTGACACCTCTGCAAACATTTTCCGAAATGATTTTATCTTCCAAAAATGTCTCAAACAAATCTGTAAGACATGTTTGTCAAGTGTTTTGTGCTTTAAACTGTTGTTTGCGTTGACGAGTTGATCATGAGTTGATGAAGGCTTAGAGTCTTGGAGCTGAGTTGCCTCCTAGGTGACGAGCACCCAGTGCCAAACGTCATTAACAGCTTTGACGAGGTGTGGGCAGTGCCATTCAGTGCCTTTGGAACTCGTGCCGACTCATGTCATCCATTGAAAACAAATACTTATCATATCATAACACATGTCCGCTTGAATATCTCTGTAGATAATGATTCCACATATTTCTACATTACATTACATGTCTTGTAGCTACATGGTGTTGCAGCATGCTGCAAGCATCTGCAAGCATTGTTTGTTGCTCATTCTTCCTTGTCAAATGATGAGCAATAGAATGGACTTGGTGGCAGCTTGAAAAGAATCAAAGATCTGAAATCCACATGCAACTCCGTGTGACTCCAACCGCCAGTTTTATGACGGCTGAAGCTTTTGCATGCGTCATGAAACGATGTCAGGCGTGTTTCTCCCCCAAAATGATGGCCTCGCTTCGCGAGCGCTTTGAGGACGCTGCGAGATGCGCTGCGAGAATCGCCGGTGTCAAGAGCATTGTTTCTGCATCCAATGCATTCCCTGTCCTATGTGAAGCACATTGAAGCACTGATCAAATCTGATCAAAACATCAAAACTAAGCACTGCCATGGCAAAGCGCTGCCAGCAAAAGCGCTGCAGCGTAGCGTCTCTTCGGACGATCAGTTCTCTGACGAAACATTTCCAGATTCCTGTCAGATTTTCCCAGAAATCGTTCCAACCGAATCTTTCAACAGTTGTAAGGTGGACGGCTGTGACGACTGTGACAGCTATGGCAACAAGAAAAGCAAAAGAACTTGCACCTGCAGGAGCCTACTCCTATTCAGAAACAAATCTGGACGCTAAGATGTGAAATTTGGTGAATATTTGGCACGGAGCAGGATCAAGGGACACTGTAAAAGGTTGTTCCACACCATTGCCAGGATGATCAAGAAAGGGAGGGATTGAATGTTGTAGTTATATAGTCCTGTGAAGCTTGCGCAGGAAACTCTCTACTTGCTCATAATATAATATAATTATAAAATTTGGAATATTATATATAATATAACAATATATATATATACACAATAATAAAATGTAATATAATATAATTTAATATAATATAATTTGATATAATATAATAAAATATAATATATATAATACAATTTAATATAATAAATTATAAATGAATATAATATAATATAATATTATATTATATTATATTATATTATATATATAATTCAAGATAATATAATATAATATGATATAATATAGTATGATATAATGTAATATAGTATAGTATGATATAATATAATATAATTCAATATATAATATAATATAATATAACATAATATAATACAATATAATATAATATAATTTGATATAATACAATATAAAAAATATAATATAATATAATATAACAAAATAACATATAATTCAATATATAATATAATATAATGTAGTATAATATAATATAATATAATACAATATGATATGATATAATATAGATTAATATAGTATAATATAATATAATAATTTATTATAATATAATATATATATATATCTATCTCATAATTTAATTATATTTGATGTTGCATTAGTGTTCATTGAACCAGAGTTTTGGGCAGATGAGAAAGAATACTCAGAAGGCACTGGCGACTGAGGCCGTTGGCAATGCAGGGACGCGACGTTGTGGGCATTGCGGAAACAGGAGCGATGCCTCAGATATCACCAGATATCCCCAGATATCTTCAGACATCTTCAGACATCTTCAGACAACAATCAGCTCTGTAAGGCTAAGGCAGATGTGAATTAATAGACTCCATGCCTTGATGAGATGTCAAGTGTTTTGTCACAAAAGGCATGAATTTCGCACTCAACAATTGTACAAGACAAGTCAAATTGGTTGCGCAATTTTGTGTATGAAGACTTGCCAGGTTGCTACGCGCAACCACTGATTTCTTGCAACACAGTAGTAGGGCCAGCAGGGGGTGCAGAAAGTGCTGGAGTCCCTGCGAGTCTTTGAGTCGAGATCAAACGGTGAAACCGTGTTGGTCCCACCAGGATCTGGCAAGACAGTGGCCTACCTTCTGCCAATGATCTGCCACATTGTCTATCAGGTGAGCTGCCGCCGACATTCCACATCGTTGTTTGCAGATGTATGTGAATGTAAGATAATGTAACTATCATCAAGGTTGTATTATACATTATGCTTCTAAGATCCACGATATGTAATTATGTGCCTTGAAGTCTTTCAAACCCTGTTTCTTTACGAAAGCATTGCTTGCAAAGCCTGGATTCAATGATTATATTATAGTGGTTTTGGGGCCCGGAAGATGCAACGATTACCTTTTTTGTGGGGGGCAATTGTTCCGACGTTCCTGATGAAACATGATGAAACATGATGAAACAGTAGCTGCTACCAGCTTAATTATGCTCAATAGATCGTGATCGGTTCTGGGTTCTGAGCAGTCTTATGGGCGCAACAAATTGTTGTCTTGACACATTTGTATGGCCCTCAGCCTTAGCTGAACCTTCGGGATGGCGATGGAGAGAGCGAGAGAGAGAGAGAGAGAGACACATGTGTATTGAATATTGACGAATTCTGAGCCTAAATGTGTCCATCTAGGGTGAGAAGATGGTCTAAGTGTCGGGTTCACAGAGGTCACAGAGTTCACAACATGCGACACACGGCATGTGAAGACACACGCGTTTCCCCGTTTCCCCAAGGAGGAGCTCCAACCTGGTGACGGTCCAGTAGCTTTGGCCACTCTGCAAAAAAATCCAAGAAACCCGAATCACTTGGCAAAGGAGAACGTCAAATAAAGGTGTAAGACAATACAAACGGGTACTTTTTTTTTCTCATTTATGAATCATTTGATACATTATGATCCGGATTTAAATGCAAATAACAAATAGTAGCAATATATTACAATAATCCGATCATGATGGACAGTGTGGCACCATGTGGCACCGAGATCTTGATTCCAACTCGTGAGTTGGCCAAGCAGATCCAAGAGGCACGGCAGTGCCGGTGCTTTCTGCGCGATCGTTCCCGTGGTAACAGGTAACACGTGGTAAGACGAAGCAGTGTAAAAAAAATATGTGTAGTATTGTGTAGTAACATATGTATGTGTAACATATGTACTGTAACTTTTAACATCTGTTACAAGCGTGTTGTGTCTCGTTTGTTGTTTTCGGATACTTTTGTTCTAGGCCATCCAAACGCTGTTTAGGGTCTCACATGGAGTCAGTGGGGAGTGTTGGAAACGCAAATTGCAAGGCAAGAACTGCTTATTTTGTGATCTATTCTTTGGTGCTTTGTATAACATGTTCACTTGCAGTGCAACCACAGCCTCGCCTCACTGTTGTCAGCAATGTGAGCTCTTCGGGTCGTAGCATGCTCAGACCTGACTTGCTTCATTGAGACAAAGTGGTAACTATATAATGACATGGGCCATGGGCTGCGAGAGTTGTTTCAGCTCTTCCTTGGTTTGCGCTGCTACAATTTACAGCCTGGTTTGCAAACGATCTGGATCTTGTTTCGAAACGTTCAGAAATCGTTCACAAAGTTTCCTTAATGCAAAGCTGTAGCATGTTGGCATCTTCAGCGGCTCCACCAGAGCACTTCCGGTGTTGAATTCAATGAGCACAGCTCTGCACGGCCACAACTTTCTGCTTTGTTCAGGAAGGTTTCAGAACTTAACAACTCACACAAAACCTTGCAGCTGTGATACTTTGGTCGTCGATTGTTTTGACTCTTACTGGATCTAATTGGCAAGGAACTGTTGGCGGTGACAAATGGGACATAGTTGCCATATGTTGCCATGGTTTGTGGTGTGTTTGCACGCTGTTATGGCCATGTGCGGCCATGTGCGGCAACCAAGTGGCCAGCGAGTGGCCAACGGCCCAGGCTCAACGGCTTGAAGAGTTGTACTGTGGTCGGAGGAACTCCTTCGAGCGAACAGAAGGAACATCTCCAGGAGGGTCGAGAGTTGGGGAGGGCGCTGCTGTTAAGAGATGTCAGCAGTTTGAGGCTATCCCGACTTATCACTGACTCAACACCGGCTTCTGCCACTTCGATGGTTACTGCTCAAGAGACATGGTGCAGCTGTTACAGCAGTCACATCATGTATCATTCAACATATTTAAGATGTCCATTCCTTTTGCCTGGCATTTCAACATGTTTCATCATACTTCAACATATTTCAGTATATTTCAACCAGTAAAAGATGTCACGGCTGTCGCCTGTCAAGACACGATTTCCCAGTTCCCTCATGCCTCTTGCAGGGCAAGAATGACATCGTGGTGGCGACGCCCGGGCGTTTCATGACTGCCTTGGGCGAAGAATGGGTCATGCTCAATCGAGCAACGCAGGGAAACACAGTGCTGATGTTGGCCACGAAGGATGCTGCCCATGCTGCTCGTGTGTTTGAAGGATGGGGGTGCCAACAATGTGCCAACGGCCCGACGCCGCGAAATTCTATGGGGACAGCATAAAGTTTCATGACTGGATTTTTCCAGACCTCAGCCTGCTCATTGGTTTCCTCTCTCCCAGGTTTCTTGTTTGTAGGCAAGACTTCCAAGTTACGGACAGATGAAATACGTATAATCAATTATATATAATCATATAGTCTGTGGCAAAACAATACATGCATAGCTTGTTTCACTGAGCAATCAAGTAGTGTATATGAATATGGTGACAGAGAAGGAATTGTACAACATGCTTCTTTTTTTCAACTGAGGCTGCGGTCAGTTCATTTAGATTCATTTAGAGGAAGATAAAGTATGTCGTAGCAGCAGCGGAAGGGAAGGAACTGCTTCAGATGTTTGTTTTTTCTGGGTAAAATGCATGATCGTGCAAGCTGCTGCGCCGCGGGTGCATTGGGATCCTGTGGTGGGATTTGGGATGTATCAAATATATTTCAACGAACAAAAAACATATTTCAAGCGAAAACACAAATGTTTTTAATCAAAACATATTCCATCATGGGGAAGGGAAGGGAAGGGAAGGGTAGGAAGAACACCTCGGAATTCTTCTTGAATTTGGTTGGCTATCAAGATATAATTACTAAGATCATTAAGGCTCACGCTCTGAAGCACAGACACCTCTGATATCCTCTGATGGGCACGCCGAGGTACGTGGTTTTGGATGAAGCTGACGAGATGCTGAAGAAGGAATTCTACGAGCAGATCAAGTGCAAGACCGAGAAACGTCAACACACGCAGACAGAAACAGATAGAATTGGACACACGACATGACAAAGATATCAACATGGCAAGAGACAACAAGAACATCGCCACACATTCTGACGCTTGATGACTAGGATGGAAATACACTAAATACACTGGGAGAATATATTGAGACATGCTCCATCCTGCTCATGCTCCGATGTTTCGACATGTGTGACATGATATCATTGAAAATCAATGAAAAATGTCGGAAGATGCCTCGGTAAAGTCTTTGCATCTCTGACTGGACAATTTGCACTTGGAGGCCTCAGAATGGCAGCACTATTTGCATCTTTTTGCAGTAGTGTTACTTGTAACTGAGTGTCAGCTTTCAATGGGAGTCGACACGGCACTTCTCAAAGCTGTCACAGATTCGTCTTGTCCTTGGATCGGCTTGAGGGTGAGAATGCCGCCTGGGCTGCTACCAATAACACAAGATTTGTCCAAATCAATTTATACATCCATCATCATCCATCATCGACATGATGCAAATAGGCAAACACGGCGCAAGGAGCAACAAGCAAAGAAATGCCCAAGTAGTCCATGCTAGCGGCGTGTGTTCTGTTTGACGAATGCGTTACATGGTCCTTCTTTTTTCGTGCTCTTATTGTCAGAGGTCAATCGACTCGGTCGACATTGAGCCCGAAGCATCCGTTCGCAGTCCAGTCATGTCCAGTCATCCAGTCTACAGGCATTATAGGCATCGTTTTCCAACGTCTTTATTACCTTAAATCTGAATGATGCACCCTGCATGCTTTGTGCAAGCAGACCTTGACTTGAGAGGACCGAGCGTCATCTGTCAGATCCTGTCGCCTCTTCACAGTTTAATCACAAAAGCTAGCTTCTGCTAGCTGAAATCCCTCTTGCTTTAGCAAGGCATTGGCAGGGGCTGGAGTCGCCAACCCCATGACACTTCACAGAAAATCACCCCCCCACCTGGTTTCGAAGCAGTTTTGCCGTGGCTCAATGATGCTCAATGCCCGTCTGGGACATCGTCGCCATATCGTGGTTGTCGGCATCAGCATCATCAGACTCTCCACTTCGTATTCCCATGTATTCCCCAATTCCGCACACACGGCTCTTTCACCACACCTTTCTCCTTCTCCCTTTACCTTCCCAGCTAGCTTTCATCCCTTACCGTACCCCCTTTCTCAACAAGCCCTTGGCCTCAACAGGCCACTGTTCTGACTGATTGAGTGGTACCCTCGTATCGAATGTGCCCATGTTCCAGGTGTTTCCAAATTAATTATTAGATGCAGAATTCATAACTTTGCCCACACAGGAACAGTTGAGTGCTGTGAAGCCTTTCACCGCTTTTCAACTTCATTTATATAGAGGAAAACACACACATACTGACATCACTGATATCACTGACATCTGATATCACGTTAAGCATGTTGCGTCGGTTCTTAAATGGGGAATTAGCAGATGCACACATTGGCGTGGGGGCACACCTGTGGCATGTTTCATCATGTGTCCATAGTCCATAGGCTACAAATCGAGAGATATCCATAGGCAGCGATGGGCACAGCAGGTTTCCACCTTTGACTTGAACATGTGTGGAACAAATACGTCTGTACCATGAGTGTTACATGTAACATAAACACATTTATATAAATACAACATGAATACACGACAATTGCTTACAAACACAAGATATCATGATTATGATCAGTGTATGTCTACTAGTATATCGGTTGTACATCAAGTGCCATCAAGTGCCATCAAGTGACTTATTTATCAAGCATCCGTCGCTGAGGCTGATCCTGTCGCAGGCCCATGACGCGAGGGCGTCCAAAGAGAAAAGAACAAATAATGAAAAGAATGAAAGAGAGATAATGCAAAGAGAATCAGAGAGTCTTTGGGGCCAAATCCAAAAAATATCAAATTAAAGCGTCTACTGCGACTACCACGCGGTGTGCCTATGTTTTCCCCGAACTATCACTAATTTATCTAATTTTATCTATATTCCAACATATTCATCGTTTTCCAAAGTTGAAAAGTGATGGCTGCGATGAGTTGCTTGTGCAGGTGCGAAAGGAGAGACAAGTTCTCATGTTCTCCGCTACGTGGCCAGAGGCGCCACATGCAGCGCGTGCAATGCGTGCAACGTCAAAATCGATTCAATCGGTGTTGCAACGCATGGCTGTGTGGCCACTTTGGGCCGTTGCACTTCTCGAATTCATGAGATGTTCGTGGAGCTGTGGTATTAGAATGTATAAGATAAAGTCGAGTTGTTTCCATGGATTTCCGTAGATATCAAGTAGATATGAATTAATTATGTAAAGAATTGTAAAGATACCTCATTGCATGGACATGGATGGACATCCAAAGGAGGTGCGCATCCTTGCCCAAGAGTCTCTTGGCAGCACCGCTGCAGGTGTGTTATACCATCAACTGGCGCTCCGTTTGGCGGGTGACCGTGGCACATAACTTTTTGCCATAAAGTGACTTTATTGTGTATCTTTTTGGGTCTGAACGCATTGGTTGGGAATTTTGTGCAAGGAAAGTTTCTGCTTTCATTCGGCCAAAAGGGCGCTGCTACAATATTTTGCAAGCGCCGTATTCTCATGATTGATCATATCAATGGACGCTCTCATATTCGGAACACCAATTCCGCGCCCATCAGGCAGCGAATTCAATACGCTAAAAAGCCCATCCAATACACATATGCAGCAAGACGGCTTCATCCAGTGGAATTCTTCAATGAGAAGGTTCGTGATTATGCGCATGAAACCATGCACGGAGAACCATTGATGGTACCCCTTACAGAAGCGATTCATGCACAGTATGCGCGAGCACTTCGAACAATTCATGTGAGAGAATCCAGGTGAACCCAAGTCAAAGACCGAGAAATGAAACATCACAAAACGAAGTCCCCACACAAATCACAACATAGACATGAGATGACATGAGATGACATGAGATGACATGAGATGACATGAGTCCGGTTGGTTTACCGGTTTACCCACATATTGCTTCAGATTGCAGTTGCAGCTCAGTTGCAAACCAACGCACGACTGCCGTTTCCCCTTCGGACGTCCCGACGAGTTTTGTTCATGTTTGTTCTAAGAAATCACCAGGTCAAAGGTCTGGACATGTCTGGACTTTCCCCGTCTTCCTAGACCCTCTAGACACATCACACACTGTAGCTGAATGAAGCAGTGAACCAGTCGTATGCACTCGATGTAAACTTAAAGTGTTGAAAGTGATGCTAAATCACCTTACTTTGCCCAATGATTTATATAGATTGATTTAGTTTAAAAATGTTTTAAACATCTTTGTGAACAAAGATCCAAAGTGCAAACGCTCAGGATTTGCACAGACAGTGACGGAATGCCGCCAGTTTGCTCCTTGGTTGGTGTCCAGGAGATCCCAGGAGATCCCAGGAGTGCGAAACAATGCGCAACTGACAGCAACTGGCAAGAGATGATACTAGTCAGTAACCTGAGTAAACTGACTAAAGTGACCAATAATTACTGAGCAGTCCGAGATAATGAAGATTCATGTTGAACTTCATTGAACTTAGTGGAACTTTGCTGCCTTGGCCTGTTATGGCCGGCCCACATGGCCCACTGTCCAAGGTGTTTGTCCGAATCGGGGGTGACAAGTTGGCCGCCTGTAAAGATATTGAGCAGCATACCGTTCTGGTGGATGGCGATGAGGCTCATGGGGAGTCCTCTGGGGGTCTCCGGTTCCAATTTGATTTTTGCAGCACGCACACAGTATACACATGGTGTGGATATAGGAAATGTAGTGTGTGGTAGTGAGGGTGAAGATGATGATTCAGAGAGAACAATAGAAAATGAATCAAAAAGAAGATGATGAGGAGGCAAGATTAAGAAATAATCCAATGGAAAGGTATGGGAAAGACTACACGCACAAAGCAGAGGGCAAATTGCTGTAAATAAAACGTGTTGGTGTGCGAGATTTGACGTCATCAAACGATGTATAAATGTATAACAACATGCTTGATAATTTATATTAATTTTTCATCGAACATGGCAGGGAACTGAATGAACACAGACAATACCACGGAATGACAACAACCCCCCCATTGTTTATCAAAGGAAATCGATTAACTCAACGATCCAGATAAACCTTCCTTGTCACAGATTCGTATGATTGAAGACTGGTCGGGTGGAATAGGAGACCTGAGAGCATTCACAATGTGACTTCATAATCGAAGGAAGTTTGGAAGTCAAACTTCCGACAATATGGACAGATGAAAAGCAGAGATGGGAAGAGTCAGAGAAGAGAAGAGAAGAAGAAAGAATAAGAAAGAAGACCAAAAAAGAGAAAGTCTCAGAAGAAAGAAGATGGAGGTGCGTGAAAAGGTAGGAAAGTCGCGAAACACTGTGCTTTTCCAATGATTTGTGGCTCCCGAGGGTCGAAAAGTAGGCTCGCTAAAGCGGCGGGTGCGGAAACAGCTGGCCAGATGAGAGATAACAAATTGATACAAATTGCACGCCGTTGTGGCGCGAAGCACATCTTCAAGTCTATATTTACAAAGCACACCAACGTCGGACCACTTTTAGAAGTTGCGATGTCGAAAAAGTGCACGCCGTTGTGGCGCGAAGCGCATTTCCAAGTCAAAACGCACAAAGCACCTCATGTTCGGACCACTTTTGGAAGTTGAGATGTCGAAACAGTGCACGCCGTTTTGGCGCGAAGCACATTTCATCACATTTCAAAGCCAAAATGTACAAAGCACACCAGCCTCGGAGCACTTTTGGAAGTTGAGATGTCGAAAAAGTATCCTGGTTGGAATTTCAACTATAAAACTAGTGGGCTTGGGTCCTTTGTAAAAAAAGTATTTTCAATGGTTTTGCAGTCCCTTCAGGACCATGTGCCTTTGCATTTTGTAGCAACCCTAGATCATGTATGTGTTCAGATTCAAACATGGGCTGGGTCATAGTACTTTGAATTTGTAGTGGTTAAGTATGCGAGATACTAGCAATAGTCGACCCAAAATGGATATCTGAGTTCACTCAGACTTGCCCACCACGGCTACAACCGCAACTGCAGCTGCAACCGCGCTTGCCAATAAATTAATTACACTACATTACAGCTACAGCTCCACTACACTACACTACAACTACAGCTACAACTGCAACTACAACTGGCTACTCCACACTACATCCAGCAGCTGTGGTATGGTGACCACTGCAACCATTGCAACCATTCCAAAAAACACAACTCCAACCACCTGTCGGTCCATCAGTGGATTCGCTCTGCTATCCGTGATTCACAAAACCAACCTCTCCTATAGGTTTCCTATGTTTGAAACTTCCGCCACCGCCTTGTGCGGTATTACTGGTATCAATAGAACTCCATCTCAACAATACAACTATTTCATTAAGTAACCACACCTCAAAACCTGATAAAACGCAACCGCCTAAACAGATCCTACCCTCATCTAATCCGAAGATCAACACATTGACATCACTTTATCATTTTCCCCAAAAACCCCCACACACACACGATGAAATTTGTACTCTCAAAAAGTCTTTGAGGGCAACTTCGCAGCATGACAAACACCTGGACAGGACAAGTACGACAAATTGAAAGAGCGTTTGCAATCGTGTGCAGGCCCAGTGCAGGTCCAGAAGAAAGCTCACGCTGTACCACTGGATCATTGCCACAATTTACGGCCTCACTAAGGCCTGACACCTTCAAGGATGGTGGCAAGGCCATTATCTTCTGCAGGCCTCTGCTGTGCCCCAAGCGGTTGAGTCTTTGACTGGTGGAAAGTTTGTCATGTCCTTAGTATTGTGGTTTTTGGTGCAGTCAGTAGCTCGTTGCTAATAGCTACTACCAAGTGGTCAGTGGCAAGTGTTGAGTAGCTGATTAATTAATTTGTCGGTCACCGCATCTCCAGAAGTCTGTCGTGTTTCAGTTTAATTTGCTTAATTTCTCAGTCAGCACAGATACGTATGTGCCTGTATGTGCCTATGCATGTACGTAGAAAGTCAACCCTTCGGACCCTTGGCATATCAAACGATCAGAGTGCAGGACCCGCGGTGCAGTCATGCGGTTGCACGAACAGCTAGAGAAGGAGGAGTTCATGTGGAAAGACGGCGAGTCCTTGGCACGGGATCCCACAGGAATCCCGCAGATCCCGCCAGAGTCATCACATGTGCCATCGAAGTGAAAACAAACACATTAGAATCATTAGAACCTATGTGCACCTATGTGCCACATACTTGTCGCCTTGAGATGTGCAGAAAATAGATGAAAATAGAACATGCGGTATGATATGGTATCATGCCATTGGCACTATAAAAATATTATGTATTTTATTGAAAATACGTTGTCACGAAATGCTTCAAGATGCTTCACATTTTCTGCGAGGGACCGCGAGATTGTACACAGGAGATTAAAAGTGATACGATTAGTTTTGTTATTTTTGTATGATGTGGAAACTGCAACAGAAACGTGGCTGAATTTAAGTGTGAATGTCGATTGGGAGTCCAAGGTGCTGTAAGTTGCAAACTCTTGTCACGACCTTTCTATGATCCATTTTGACAATTTTCTCAGATCTCTCCAAATCTCTCCATGAGATCGGTTGAAAGAATGAAGTGCGTATGATCTCGTTTGGTCAAAGTATGGTCAATGATCGATTTCATGCCTGGATCAGCTACTGGTCCAGCACTCGGGTTTGAAGATGTCTGGAGAGTCCTTTCTATGTCTTCACTGTCTTCACGGAAATTCTCCATCGCGTTCAAAAAATGTTTTCTGAGACCTCTACGGAGTTAAAGCCTCGTCAAGATCTCTTCATCAAGCACAATGGGACAACAATATAAGAACAAGACAATTAGCAACAATGATAATGATGACAATGATGACAATGATGGGGGCAGTGAGGTTTCTGATGTTCCGTGCGAGGTCGCTATGCTGCACGGCGAGATGCGCCAGAGCGATCGCGACTGGGTGCGCTGCCATGCTGGACACGACATGACACGACTGTGTTCGAAGTTTCTTGTTGGCTCTGGGCTCTGAGTGTCCATGTAACGCAGATGCTATGCATCTTACGTTTTTGTAAAGCATGTAAAAACAACAACAACACATGTTTCAACATGTTTCAACTTATGTTTCCTTACATGTTTCAAGTTTCAACAGAATCATTCGCGCGAGGCGATGCTGCAATTCCGCCAGGGTGATTTGCCGGGATCTCTGTTGCCTTCGCGGCGCTGGGGAATGAAGCAACTTCCGAAAAGGGTATGTGAGGCCATGTGCATGTATGATCATGTATGTGCTAAGCGGCTAGTTAGGCTAATGTTAAAAATATGGCTTGACACTGGACTGTAGAATATAGGTATGGGCACAAAGAGTGCTACATCAATGTTCCATATCATGTCAGTTTGACTGCTGTCTTGATTGATGTCTCCATTCATGCTACGCTTTTGAAGACAGTTCTATCCTATTAATAATTGTTTCCGAAGGGTAAAGTCTGCCAATTCTCAACCACGATTGCTTGGTTTGGAGGATAGTGATTGTGGACATCCTTGCAAACACAAGTTTGTTCTGGCAAGATATGTAAGTCGAACCCGGGCCCCACGGTACAGTCAGTGGTTTATTTTTTTGGGGTATGATTTGGTAGTTTGAGAGCTATTTGACATTATTTGAAGCTGTATCTGCAAGTGAACATGCTAATTTCACCTCTTTGGGGATCTGTGACACTTGTATACACTTGTCAGATGTCGCCGCACCAGGCCGTGTGTGATCTCCACAGGAGTCTTAGCTCGAGGACACGATATTCCAAAGGCTCGAGACTTCACAAGATGTCACGAGATGCCATGAAAGGAGTTGAAAGGTTGAGCACGTATTCTTGAAACATAAATTACAATTGTAGAACAAGAAAAAAAACATATTTATGAATCAATATATATGTGTTCACATATTCCAAGCGCTGTTTGAAGGTTGGAAGATCTTCATCTTGCGATATTTTGCGCGCTCTGGGCGCAAGAATCTGTCAACAAGACACGAGATGTAAAATAAGATGCACACATGTAAATGTTGATAGATTCAATATTCATATATACATTCATATTCGCATTTTTTGCATTTGCATGGCTGCACCTTCTGCCAAGATTTGACATGCGTTGCAGGTGCGCTTTGTGTTCAACTATGACGTCCCTCGTGAAGCTGAAGACTACATCCATCGGGCGCCCTTGGGACGAAAACGAAAACGATTCACGGTGAGACCGTTTTGTAGAGATAGGCTATGATAGGCTAAAAAACATTGAGACACCTGCGCCCACTTTGATGTGGTGTCATTATATTTTCAAATTTATCAAGTTCTGAATTCCCCTTAGGTTTGGCTCATGTCCACTCTTCTGTGCGAAGAGCTGCTGGTCCATGGGTGAATCCTTTCATGAAGTCATTACTGTATATATACACTCTGCAGACAATTGCGCCATTATAAAATAACTTATATAAGTTCCAAGTCAATATTTTCTCTGACAACATAAGTTTTACATTGCATATGAGATGTATGTATATATAAAATTATATAAATATATATTATAAATATAATATATTTATATGGTATACCAAAAAAAATATGACAGACACACACATATATTAAATATATGTATACATACATATATATATATACATATTAATAGAGAAAACATATCATACAATTTTTTCAAAAGTCATTTGCCAAACAAATGTCGGACGACGGCCTGACAGCCCGATGAACCTGACGATGTTCTGACGATGTCCAGGTGGGACGTACAGGGCGAGCTGGAGCCAAGGGCTATTCCATGATCTTCGTTGACAAATCGAACAGCAAGGAGCGAAATAGAAACCCTGCAGAAACCTCAGAATTTCTTGACAGTTGGAAAACATGTCATGGTTTATCATGGTTTTCCTGTTTTTCTCACTCTCATGATTCTCGGATATTCTCATGATGTTTTTTTCTTGGTTTGGGGTGTTAGCGCCAACAAAACTGCGCAAGACAGTTGAACATTTCAAAACTGTTCTAAGCAACCAGTTCACCTGGTGGGCCGCTAGGGCTAGTGGACTATGGACATGCGTATCATCAAGCAGCATCAAACCGCATCATGTTCCAGATTCCATGTGTTTCACTGGCCACCGCGTCGCAGGCGACCAATTCAAGTTACATCCCCCAGACGGTTTGCTTAGATCGTTGAGTTCACAGAGAAGATACGCCTGGGGGTGCTGACCCTGTTTGGAGAGACTTATAGAGGCTCACATTAAAACCCACGCTCTGATAACTATGGAAAACTCCTCTACGTCAGCCACCTCTTCCCGCTCTTGCCCACTGCCCTCTCCAAATCTTTCCACACCAATGCTGCACGCATGTAATCGCACACAGCTACGCACAGCTGCACGTGGCTACACAGTGCCCAGCACAACACACGATGTGATCTGTTGCCTTTGTAAAAAAAATGCTGTAGTCCTGCAACCTCATGCATTCTTGGTGTATTGACAGCCACATTGTATCGCATAAAGAAAGATAAAAACTTATCAAAATAGATTGTACTAGTAATACGGTAAGATATACTAGTATCCAAATGAATGAATGAACAGTTTGTTGCAGCAGGTGTTGTCTGCACGTGGTGCGCATTTCACTATCGCATCTACCGCCTCTTTCATGCCATCCTGAAAGTCGCCCCAAATGGCGCGCCGATGCTCACACTGCACGACCTAACACACCAAACATCTCCGAAGCTTTGTGGCATATGCCAGATTGACAGATTGCCAGAGATTGCCAGACTACGTTACTGATTCAAGTTCTAATTCTACAATTCTTTCTCTCTCTCTCTCTCTCTCTTTCTCATTGCTTGGAGCTTGAGCTTGTCACCTATTTTCAATAGAGGACAGCTGAATGGTTACAGTACTTTCTGTTACTTCTCAGAAAGCTTGACTTGCAGTACAGAAAAGTAAGTCCATCATGACATAGGTTTGGCTCCCTCAAACATCCAGTAGTCCAGTAGCTGATTCTTCCTCCAAGTTGTTGTGACTCTTGCCATAAGGTTCTTGATCTTCCTAGACATTCTGATTTTGCCGTTTGGATGTGATCAAGTTATTTCTTTAAGCAACCTATAGCAACAGTACATACCGGCAGTCATAACGATACCTTTGGGCTTTGACACTTCGAAATCATTTGGCGCACTAGTGATGCTGACAGTGTCACCAAGACCACACTCTTTTGAGATCTACATTGATGTGTTTTGATGTGTTTTGATGTGTTTTGATGTGTTTTGATGTTCGATGTATTGACGCGTCACTTTGCAGCGCACCTCAGGAGCTGCAGGCTGCACATGCCTTTTTGATGGGCGTGCTTCAAGCCACAGATCAAACCGTCGAAGAGGATTTCAAGGTGGCACAGTTTCTTGCGTCCGAAAGCATGTCATATAGTCTATCCTATCCAGTGGTAGGGAGGGAGCTAAGGAGACACGGGTATCCATATTCCCTCTGAAATGGGGAGCCATTAAAATCCAATGAGCTATCAAGAGTTTCTCAATCAGATCATAGTGTCCTGTGTCGTTGCAGTTTGAACACCCAACTCCATGTAGTTAGGCGCATTCAGTGAGAGAAATGTATGAACACAAGCTCTATATAGCTCTATGATTTTCACTGCGTAACGTGTCCAAGGGATGTACTTCTTGTCGTAATGAGAAGTGTTTTTGTCGCTTTTGTTGATCATTCCCAGGAGGCGGTTGAAAACTACGAACAATCGCAAAATCAGGCGCCGAATGAGTTTGCAGCCGTCATTTCCCAACTATGGCAGAACAAAAAGTCTGAAGTTCGAAGTGTGCATTCTGTTGCATTCCAAAACTTTCAAGGTCAGTCTTTAGAGGAAAAATTGGAGGACAGTCACAGATTGAGCAAGATGTGTCACATGCAAAAAGCGTAGAAATGAGAACCGAAATGAGCAGAGAAATGACACTTAACAAGACCTCATTGGTAGCATATGGTTAGTGTGGTACAATAATAGCTAATTATATCAAATTATACATAATAATAAGGTAGCATATGGTAGCATATAGTAGCATGACGGTCTCCGGTCTCCATTTGTTGGGTTGCTATATTAGTTGTTCCTCGAAGTTCATTGCATTTCATGGCCGTTCGGCTGCCAGACCTTTTATGGAGATGGAGCCGGCTGGGATGGTTGGGATGTGGAGGACAAGCGCGGTTGAACCTGGTTCAACCGGGTTGACGGGTTGGCCCAGGGTTGGCCCATGTTTCACTTTGTTTCATCACCGGCACCACGTTGGGCATCATGCTGCACCATGTTTCCTCTGGGGGCTCAGGCCCACAGGAATTTGAACATGTCCTCGACACCTGGCAAGATGAACGCACATAGCCATGACATGCCATGAAAATTGAATGGAAATGCCATGAATGTCAGATGAAAGGTTTGCCATGGCAACTTACTTACTATAGTTTATTGCAGCCACGTAAGTTTGGGGCTTCAAACGACCTGCCATTGCATCCAGTGCTTGCTGTGGCTTGCTGCGGCTTGCATTCTTGCTATCGCACATACAAAGCTCTCTGTGGGTTGGATTCTGTGTTGTCACATGGGCAATTCGATGTGTCCAACTGAACACCTGTGTCCCGCCTGTGCCATGCTAGGACACGAAGCATGAGGCCAGGCTGCTGTACAAGCGTTCGATGCTGTTTCTGTGCTCTAAATCATCTTTGCAGGCTGAACAAATTCATTGGAAGACACCCGCTGTTTCAAGCCCTGTCCAGCATCCCCAGACTCTCAGCCATGGATTTCTCATGATTTCTCAATGACTCCAGCAAAACTAACAAAACTGTTGAAGTTGCAGGCAGCCGATGGGGACGCAGCGCAGGAGAAGACGTGTCCCTGTAGCCAACATATCTGCAGCAGACGCAACGACCCGAACATATTTGCAGTTCCTTTCATCCACAATTATAGGAGAAACACATGAGGAAATCGGATAAACTGCTATGAACTTAATGCTTTGGCGTGGATTTGAGTGCAGAAGTTTTGCATGTCCACCGGGAGGAAATGTTTCTTCGTAAGAAGAGCTGAACTAATCATGTCGAACGTAGACTCGACGTAGAGATGATCAAAAACTGCATGCTACATATCTCCAGCTGGAGTTGTGGCCTGTGGTTGTGATTGTTGGTTGATGGAGGAAACAGTTCTGGGGTTTGGCTCATGTCCTTTGATGTTCTTCGCAAAGTTTAAAAGCTGTGGCGGAAAAAAAGTGAATTCCGATCGATACTTCTGCTAGGAGCAATGGCCAAAGGGCACCCAGGGTACTGAGTGGCAGGTTGGGCGAGTGATCAGTGGGGTCCAAGAGTTTGAATATAAGCTGGTACCGCATGTCATCGCATGTCACATCGTGTCCATCGTCACCCTGCAAACGTTTGTAGTTGGCCTTGTAGTTTGATTGCGCTTGCATGCGCTTGCTGGTTCATACCTTTGGAATCCTTTTGGATCCTTTTGATGTCTCCATTTTTTCCACTGCAATGCTTGCAGTCTGGATCAAACAGCAACACGAAAATCTTCACCTTTTCCATCCTTTTCCTTTCTAATAAAAACAAAGCAAGACAATGCTGAACGCAGGGCGGAGCCACAGAAGGTGCATACGCTGCAGCTGAGGCCCGGACGGAGGGTAGTTTCCGAGGAAAAGATGGGGAATGGTTGACACTGCCATACGCTGCCAGATTTGGTCCGCGCAAACATGTGCGAACTTTCTTCGTGATTGTGAGGTTATTCTTTAGGGCAGCAGAAGGGGCAGGAACCAACAATGATCAACAATGACTTGAAACCCGGATTACAAACCCAACCTGGGCATTTGATGCAAATCTGGTGGGTCTGTGGAGTTGCAACTGCCGGTGTGTAGATATGCAGGAAGAGGCTGGGTGGCAACAAGAGGCGCCTGGCGAAGTGGACCGGGACCTGAGTGGTTTGTCGATGTTAGTGTTCCAGCATAGCTAGCTGGATGCAACAGGACCATAACAGGGCCTGCCCAAAGTTTGAAGAGGACTTTCAAGAGAGTGTGTGGTTCCAAAGCTGTCCAGAAGCGTTTCAAGATGATCTGTGCTTTTCAGGGCCAACCATCTCCAATCTGTGAATCAATTTCGTGTAGAAGGATTTGTGTCAGCCATGCGTTTTCAAGAATGCGGCCGCCTGTCATGACTTGTTGACCCATGTCATGTATCAATGCATCATCAATTTGCACGGGAACCCTTCAGCTCCATTGAAGATGAAGGCCTCAAGCAGAATCATGTAGCTCACTGGAGTTTTGAGCTTAGAAGGGTTCCCTCCACATTTGATTTGAGCTGCAGCTGCAACCTTCTGGTAATTTTCTTCTCTTCTGCTGATCGGGCAGGCAGCTGGAGGGGACGCTGCGCATGCTGCGCAGGAGACGACAGGGATGATGTGTCCATGTAACCATATTTGCAGCAGATGCAACGACCCGAACATATCTGCAACATGTTTTTGAAACTATTTCCATCCCCTCAGACGAGACGCATGAAGAAATTCAGATAGATTGAATGTTTTGGTGTGGATTTGAGTGTTGCTTCATAAGAAGAGCTGAACTAATTAGGTCGAACGTAGAGATGGTGATCAAATTTTGCATGCTACTGGTACATATTACATACTGTATCTCATATCTCCAGCTGCAGCTGCGGCCTGTGGTTGTGATTGTTGGCTGATGGGGGAAACAGTTCTGGAGTTTGCGTTGTGTTCTGTGCGAAGTGATCTCCAAACGATGCTTTTGCTAGGAGCAATGGTCAGAGAGCAACCAGTGGCAGGTTGGGCGAGTGACCAGTCGGGTTTCAGGTCGGGGACAAGAATATGATCTCCTACCGTTCCCACCCAATTGTTATAGGTTGCCCACCGCCACCCCGCAAACGTTTGTAGTTGGCCTTGTGGTTTTATCGCGCTTGCTGGTTCATACCTTTTCCCGCTGGGGTTGTGGCCTGTGGTTTTGATTGAGTTCTGGAGTTTGGGCTGTGTTCTTTGCAAAGTGAACTCCGAACGATGCTTTTGCTAGGCCCAATATGAGCAATGGCCCGAGGGCACCCAGTGGCAGGTTGGGCGAGTGACCAGTAGGGTTTCAGGTCAGGGACAAGAATCTAAGCTCTTACCGCTCCTGCCCACATGTTACATCAAGCCCACCGTCACCTTGCAAACATTTGATTTCGCTTGCTGGTTCATACCTTTTCCAGCTGAGGTTGTGGCCTGTGATTTTGATTGAGTTCTGGAGTTTGGGCTGTGTTCTTTGCAAAGTGAACTCCAAACGATGCTTTTGCTAGGAGCAATGTGAGCAATGGCCAGAGGGCACCCAGGGTACTCTGTGGCAGGTTGGGCGAGTGATCATTTGTAGTTGGCCTTGTAGTTTGATTGCGCTTGCATGCGCTTTCTGGTTCATACCTTTGGAATCCTTTTGGATCCTTTTGATGTCTCCATTTTTTCCACTGCAATGCTTGCAGTCTGGATCAAACAGCAACACGAAAATCTTCACCTTTTCCATCCTTTTCCTTTCTAATAAAAACAAAGAAAGACAATGCTGAACGCAGGGCGGAGCCACAGAAGGTGCATACGCTGCAGCTGAGGCCCGGACGGAGGGTAGTTTCCGAGGAAAAGATGGGGAATGGTTGACACTGCCATACGCTGCCAGATTTGGTCCGCGCAAACATGTGCGAACTTTCTTCGTGATTGTGAGGTTATTCTTTAGGGCAGCAGAAGGGGCAGGAACCAACAATGATCAACAATGACTTGAAACCCGGATTACAAACCCAACCTGGGCATTTGATGCAAATCTGGTGGGTCTGTGGAGTTGCAACTGCCGGTGTGTAGCGATATGCAGGAAGAGGCTGGGTGGCAACAAGAGGCGCCTGGCGAAGTGGACCGGGACCTGAGTGGTTGTCGATGTTAGTGTTCCAGCATAGCTAGCTGGATGCAACAGGACCATAACAGGGCCTGCCCAAAGTTTGAAGAGGACTTTCAAGAGAGTGTGTGGTTCCAAAGCTGTCCAGAAGCGTTTCAAGATGATCTGTGCTTTTCAGGGCCAACCATCTCCAATCTGTGAATCAATTTCGTGTAGAAGGATTTGTGTCAGCCATGCGTTTTCAAGAATGCGGCCGCCTGTCATGACTTGTTGACCCATGTCATGTATCAATGCATCATCAATTTGCACGGGAACCCTTCAGCTCCATTGAAGATGTAGGCCTCAAGCAGAATCATGTAGCTCACTGGAGTTTTGAGCTTAGAAGGGTTCCCTCCGCATTTGATTTGAGCTGCAGCTGCAACCTTCTGGTAATTTTCTTCTCTTCTGCTGATCGGGCAGGCAGCTGGAGGGGACGCTGCGCATGCTGCGCAGGAGACGACAGGGATGATGTGTCCATGTAACATCATGTAACCATATTTGCAGCAGATGCAACGACCCGAACATATCTGCAACATGTTTTTGAAACTATTTCCATCCCCTCAGACGAGACGCATGAAGAAATTCAGATAGATTGAATGTTTTGGTGTGGATTTGAGTGTTGCTTCATAAGAAGAGCTGAACTAATTAGGTCGAACGTAGAGATGGTGATCAAATTTTGCATGCTACTGGTACATATTACATACTGTATCTCATATCTCCAGCTGCAGCTGCGGCCTGTGGTTGTGATTGTTGGCTGATGGGGGAAACAGTTCTGGAGTTTGCGTTGTGTTCTGTGCGAAGTGATCTCCAAACGATGCTTTTGCTAGGAGAAATGGCCAGAGAGCACCCAGTGGCAGGTTGGGCGAGTGACCAGTCGGGTTTCAGGTCGGGGACAAGAATATGATCTCCTACCGTTCCCACCCAATTGTTATAGGGTGCCCACCGCCACCCCGCAAACGTTTGTAGTTGGCCTTGTGGTTTTATCGCGCTTGCTGGTTCATACCAGTACCTTTTCCCGCTGGGGTTGTGGCCTGTGGTTTTGATTGAGTTTTGGAGTTTGGGTTGTCTTTGTTTTCTACTGCAATGCTTGCACTCAGGAGCAAACAGCAGGACGAAATGCTTTACCTTGAACTTAGTCACTTTTCAAATCAAAACAAATCGCAACAATGCTGAATGCAGGGCGTAACCACAGAAGATGCGCACGCCGCAGCTGAGGCCGGGGTGTAGTTTCTGAGGAGATGGACAATCGTTGACGTTGCCAGATTTAGTCTGTGCATGTTTGTGCAAACGTTCTTCGTGATTGTAGGCGTCTTCTTTAGTGTCTTAATTTAGGGCAGCAGAAGGGTGGGGTAGGAACCAACAGTGACTTGAAATTAGGATACCTGGGCCTTTGAAGAAAATCTCGATGAATGTTGTGGGTGTGTGCAGTTGCGACTGTCGGTGTTCAGATGTGTAGTTAGAGACTCAACAAGAGGCGCCTGTACAAGTGGACCAGGTGTTTGAGGGGTTTGATTGGTTGTCGATGTTAGTGCTCCAGCATAGCTAGCTAGATTGCAGCTAGATGCTCCAAGGCCTACACATAGGCTAATAGGAGAAGCTTTGATTTCATTCCAAAATGATCAAATGATATCAAATGATCAGTGTTTTTCGGGGCCAATAATCTCCAATCCGTGAATCATTTCTGTGTAGAAAAAATGTGTATCAGCCATGTGTTTTCAAGAATGCGGCTACCTAGCACGAGCTGTTGGACCATGTATGATTGCATCATCACTTTGTATTTGCAAGGGGCCTCCTTTCATTTGAAAATGTAGGCCATTGTAGGCCTTAAACATGTAGCTCAGTTCTGATCATAGAAGGGTTCCTTCATGTTCCTTCTTAGATTTGCGCTGCAGCTGCAATTGCTCTTGTTGAAAACCTTTTAGGATTCGGCTTCTGTGTGCTTCTGACCCGGGCAGGCACCTGAAGGGGACGCTGCCCAGCAGAAGGCAGGGTTTTCTGATGTTTTCTGTGTCCGTGTAATCAACCTATTTGCAGCAACCGCAACGACTCGAACATATTTGCATATATTTGCAATATTTTGCAATTCGTTTCATAACGCCGAAGTTTTGCGGGCGTCAAGGGGGAGGGAATGTTGCTTCATAAGACGAACGTTGATTCGCCATGACTCCCTAGATGTTTGAGCGCCACAAGTTCGAAGATGTTTGAAGTCGGCTTGAAGCCGCGATGACTTTGATCAGATTATCAAAAGCTGCATGCTACATCTCCAACTGGGGTTGTGGCCTGGGGTTGTGATTGTTGGCTGATCTGGGAAAGAGTTTTGAAGTTGGCCTTGCTAGGAGCAATGGGCACCCAGTGCACTGACAGAGCATCACCCTGCAAAAGTTTGTAGTTGGCCTTGTAGTTCGATTGCGCTTGCTGGTTCATACCTTTGGAATCCTTTGATCCATTTTGGGGCCTGTTGATGTGCGTTTCTTCTACTGCAATGCTTGCACTCAGGAGCAAACAGCAGCACGAAATGCTTCACCTTTCACTTAGATTCAATGATTCACTTAGTCACTTTTCAAATCAAAACAAATCGCAACAATGCTGAATGCAGGGCGTAACCACAGAAGATGCGCACGCCGCAGCTGAGGCCGGGGTGTAGTTTCTGAGGAGATGGACAATCGTTGACGTTGCCAGATTTAGTCTGTGCATGTTTGTGCAAACGTTCTTCGTATTTGTAGGCGTCTTCTTCAGTGTCTTAATTTAGGGCAGCAGAGGGTGGGGTAGGAACCAACAGTGACTTGAAATTGGGATACCTGGGCCTTTGAAGAAAATCTCGCTGAATGTTGTGGGTGTGTGGCGTTGCAACTGTGATTGTGTTCGGATGTGTAGGCCATGTACAGGTTGTCGATGTTAGTGCTCCAGCATAGCTAGCTAGATTGCAGCTAGATGCTCCAAGGCATACACACAGGAGAAGCTTTGATTTCATTCCAAAATGATCAACTGATTTCAAATGATCAGTGTTTTTCGGGGCCAATAATCTCCAATCCGTGAATCATTTCTGTGTAGAAAAAATGTGTATCAGCCATGTGTTTTCAAGAATGCGGCTACCTAGCACGAGCTGTTGGACCATGTATCATTGCATCATCACTTTGTATTTGCAAGGGGCCTCCTTTCATTTGAAAATGTAGGCCATTGTAGGCCTTAAACATGTAGCTCAGTTCTGTTCATAGAAGGGTTCCTTCATGTTCCTTCTTAGATTTGCGCTGCAGCTGCAATTGCTCTTGTTGAAAACCTTTTAGGATTCGGCTTCTGTGTGCTTCTGACCCGGGCAGGCAGCTGAAGGGGACGCTGCCCAGCAGAAGGCAGGGTTTTCTGATGTTTTCTGTGTCCGTGTAATCAACCATTTGCAGCAACCGCAACGACTCGAACATATTTGCATATATTTGCAATATTTTGCAATTCGTTTCATAACGCCGAAGTTTTGCGGGCGTCAAGGGGGAGGGAATGTTGCTTCATAAGAAGAGCTGAGCTAATTAGGTCGAACGTTGATTCGCCATGACTCCCCATCTAGATGTTTGAGCGCCACAAGTTCGAAGATTTTTGAAGTCGGCTTGACGCCGCGATGACTTTGATCAGATTGTCAAAAGCTGCATGCTACATCTCCAACTGGGGTTGTGGCCTGGGATTGTGATTGTTGGCTGATCTGGGAAAGAGTTTTGAAGTTGGCCTTGCTAGGAGCAATGGGCACCCAGTGCACTGACAGATCATCACCCTGCAAAAGTTTGTAGTTGGCCTTGTAGTTCGATTGCGCTTGCTGGTTCATACCTTTGGAATCCTTTGATCCATTTTGGGGCCTGTTGATGTGCGTTTCTTCTACTGCAATGCTTGCACTCAGGAGCAAACAGCAGCACGAAATGCTTCACCTTTCACTTAGATTCAATGATTCACTTAGTCACTTTTCAAATCAAAACAAATCGCAACAATGCTGAATGCAGGGCGTAACCACAGAAGATGCGCACGCCGCAGCTGAGGCCGGGGTGTAGTTTCTGAGGAGATGGACAATCGTTGACGTTGCCAGATTTAGTCTGCGCATGTTTGTGCAAACGTTCTTCGTGATTGTAGGCGTCTTCTTTAGTGTCTTAATTTAGGGCAGCAGTGGGTGGGGTAGGAACCAACAGTGACTTGAAATTGGGATACCTGGGCCTTTGAAGAAAATCTCGATGAATGCTGTGGGTGTGTGGAGTTGCGACTGTCGCTGTTCAGATGTGTAGTTAGAGACTCAACAAGAGGCGCCTGTACAAGTGGACCAGGTGTTTGAGGGGTTTGATTGGTTGTCGATGTTAGTGCTCCAGCATAGCTAGCTAGATTGCAGCTAGATGCTCCAAGGCCTACACATAGGCTAATAGGAGAAGCTTTGATTTCATTCCAAAATGATCAAATGATATCAAATGATCACTGTTTTCCGGGGCCAATAATCTCCAATCCGTGAATTAATTTCTGTGTAGAAAAAATGTGTGTCATCCATGTGTTTTCAAGAATGCGGCTACCTGGTACGAGCTGTTGGACCATGTATCAATACATAATCACTTTGTATTTGCAAGGGGCCTCCGTAGGCCATTGTAGGCCTTAAACATGTAGCTCAATATAGAAGGGTTCCTTCATGTTCCTTCTCAGATTTGCGCTGCAGCTGCAGTTGCTCTTGTTGAAAACCTTTTAGGACTCGGCTTCTGTGTGCTTCTGACCCGGGCAGGCAGCTGAAGGGGACGCTGCCCAGCAGAAGGCAGGGTTTTCTGATGTTTTCTGTGTCCGTGTAATCAACCTATTTGCAGCAACCGCAACGACTCGAACATATTTGCATATATTTGCAATATTTTGCAATTCGTTTCACAACGCCGAAGTTTTGCGGGCGTCAAGGGGAAAGGAATGTTGCTTCATAAGAAGAGCTGAGCTAATTAGGTCGAACGTTGATTCGCCATGACTCCCCATCTAGATGTTTGAGCGCCACAAGTTCGAAGATGTTTGAAGTCGGCTTGAAGCCGCGATGACTTTGATCAGATTGTCAAAAGCTGCATGCTACATCTCCAACTGGGGTTGTGGCCTGGGGTTGTGATTGTTGGCTGATCTGGGAAAGAGTTTTGAAGTTGGCCTTGCTAGGAGCAATGGGCACCCAGTGCACTGACAGATCATCACCCTGCAAGAGTTTGTAGTTGGCCTTGTAGTTCGATTGCGCTTGCTGGTTCATACCTTTGGAATCCTTTGATCCATTTTGGGGCCTGTTGATGTGCGTTTCTTCTACTGCAATGCTTGCACTCAGGAGCAAACAGCAGCACGAAATGCTTCACCTTTCACTTAGATTCAATGATTCACTTAGTCACGTTTCAAATCAAAACAAATCGCAACAATGCTGAATGCAGGGCGTAACCACAGAAGATGCGCACGCCGCAGCTGAGGCCGGGGTGTAGTTTCTGAGGAGATGGACAATCGTTGACGTTGCCAGATTTAGTCTGTGCATGTTTGTGCAAACGTTCTTCGTGATTGTAGGCGTCTTCTTTAGTGTCTTAATTTAGGGCAGCAGAGGGTGGGGTAGGAACCAACAGTGACTTGAAATTGGGATACCTGGGTCTTTGAAGAAAATCTCGATGAATGCTGTGGGTGTGTGGAGTTGCGACTGTCGGTGTTCAGATGTGTAGTTAGAGACTCAACAAGAGGCGCCTGTACAAGAGGACCAGGTGTTTGAGGGGTTTGATTGGTTGTCGATGTTAGTGCTCCAGCATAGCTGGCTAGATTGCAGCTAGATGCTCCAAGGCCTACACATAGGCTAATAGGAGAAGCTTTGATTTCATTCCAAAATGATCAAATGATATCAAATGATCACTGTTTTTCCGGGGCCAATAATCTCCAATCCGTGAATTAATTTCTGTGTAGAAAAAATGTGTGTCATCCATGTGTTTTCAAGAATGCGGCTACCTGGCACGAGCTGTTGGACCATGTATCAATACATAATCACTTTGTATTTGCAAGGGGCCTCCGTAGGCCATTGTAGGCCTTAAACATGTAGCTCAATATAGAAGGGTTCCTTCATGTTCCTTCTCAGATTTGCGCTGCAGCTGCAGTTGCTCTTGTTGAAAACCTTTTAGGACTCGGCTTCTGTGTGCTTCTGACCCGGGCAGGCAGCTGAAGGGGACGCTGCCCAGCAGAAGGCAGGGTTTTCTGATGTTTTCTGTGTCCGTGTAATCAACCTATTTGCAGCAACCGCAACGACTCGAACATATTTGCATATCATATATTTGCAATATTTTGCAATTCGTTTCATAACGCCGAAGTTTTGCGGGCGTCAAGGGGGAGGGAATGTTGCTTCATAAGAAGAGCTGAGCTAATTAGGTCGATCGTAGGGATTGTCACAAGTTCGAAGATGTTTGAAGTCGGTTGAAGCCGCGATGACTTTGATCAGATTATCAAAAGCTGCATGCTACATCTCCAACTGGGGTTGTGGCCTGGGGTTGTGATTGTTGGCTGATCTAGGAAACAGTTTTGAAATTAGTTTGTTAGTGTTCTGTGCAAAGTGAACTCCGAACGATGCCTTTGCAAGGAGCAATGGGTACCCAGTGTACTAAGCATCACCCTAAAAACGTTTGTAGTTGGCCATTAGTTGGCCTTGTAGTTGATTGCGCTTGCTGGTTCCTACCTTTTCCAGCTGGGGTTGTGGCCTGTGGTTTTGATTGAGTTCTGGAGTTTGGGTTGTCTACGTTTTCCACTGCAATGCTTGCACTCTGGAGCAACAGCAGCACGAAATTCTTCACCTTTCACTGAGTCACTTTTCAAATCAAAACCAATCGGAACAAAGCTGAATGCAGGGCGTAGCCACAGAAGATGCGCACGCTGCAGCTGAGGCACAGGCGGGGGTAGTTTTCTAAGAAGATGGACAATAGTTGACGTTGCCAGATTTAGTCTGTGCATGTTTGTGCAAATGTGCTTCCTAATTGTAGGCGTCTTCTTTAAAGTGTTTTTTTAGGGCAGCAGAAGGGTGGGGTAGGAACCAACAGTGGCTTGAAATTGGGATACCTGAGCCTTTGATGCAAATCTCGATAAATCTCGTGGGCCCGTGGAGTTGCAACTGTCGGTGTTCAGATGTGTAGGCAGAGGCTTCGCTCGAGGCTTCACAAGAGGCGCCAGCTAGCTGGATGCAACAGGGCCTACCCACAGTCTGAAGAAGATTTTGCTTTCATTTCAAAATGATGGCCAATGATCTCCAATCCGTGAATCAATTTCGTGTAGAAAAAATGTGTGTCATCCATGTTTTCAAGAATGCGGCTACCTGGCAAGATCCGTAGGCCATTGTAGGCCTTAGACATGTGGCTGACTAGAGTTCTGATGAATCATAGAAGGGTTCCTTCATGCTTCTTCTTAGATTTGCGCTGCAGCTGCAGTTGCTCTTGTATGCTCTTGTTGAAAACCTTCTAGGACTCGACTTCTGTGTGCTTCTGACCCGGGCAGGCAGCTGAAGGGGACGCTGCCCAGCAGAAGGCAGGGTTTTCTGATGTTTTCTGTGTCCGTGTAATCAACCTGTTTGCAGCAACCGCAACGACTCGAACATATTTGCATATATTTGCAATATTTTGCAATATTTTGCAATTCGTTTCATAACGCCGAAGTTTTGCGGGCGTCAAGGGGGAGGGAATGTTGCTTCATAAGAAGAGCTGAGCAAATTAGGTCGAACGTTGATTCGCCATGACTCCCCATCTAGATGTTTGAGCGCCACAAGTTCGAAGATGTTTGAAGTCGGCTTGAAGCCGCGATGCCTTTGGTCAGATGATCAAAAGCTGCATGCTACATCTCCAACTGGGGTTGTGGCCTGTGGTTGTGATTGTTGGCTGATCTGGGAAAGAGTTTTGAAGTTGGCCTTGCTAGGAGCAATGGGTACCCAGTGTACTAAGCATCACCCTAAAAACGTTTGTAGTTGGCCATTAGTTGGCCTTGTAGTTGATTGCGCTTGCTGGTTCCTACCTTTTCCAGCTGGGGTTGTGGCCTGTGGTTTTGATTGAGTTCTGGAGTTTGGGTTGTCTACGTTTTCCACTGCAATGCTTGCACTCTGGAGCAACAGCAGCACGAAATTCTTCACCTTTCACTGAGTCACTTTTCAAATCAAAACCAATCGGAACAAAGCTGAATGCAGGGCGTAGCCACAGAAGATGCGCACGCTGCAGCTGAGGCACAGGCGGGGGTAGTTTTCTAAGAAGATGGACAATAGTTGACGTTGCCAGATTTAGTCTGTGCATGTTTGTGCACATGTGCTTCCTAATTGTAGGCGTCTTCTTTAAAGTGTTTTTTTAGGGCAGCAGAAGGGTGGGGTAGGAACCAACAGTGGCTTGAAATTCGGATACCTGAGCCTTTGATGCAAATCTCGATAAATCTCGTGGGCCCGTGGAGTTGCAACTGTCGGTGTTCAGATGTGTAGGCAGAGGCTTCGCTCGAGGCTTCACAAGAGGCGCCAGCTAGCTGGATGCAACAGGGCCTACCCACAGTCTGAAGAAGATTTTGCTTTCATTTCAAAATGATGGCCAATGATCTCCAATCCGTGAATCAATTTCGTGTAGAAAAAATGTGTGTCATCCATGTTTTCAAGAATGCGGCTACCTGGCAAGATCCGTAGGCCATTGTAGGCCTTAGACATGTGGCTGACTAGAGTTCTGATGAATCATAGAAGGGTTCCTTCATGCTTCTTCTTAGATTTGCGCTGCAGCTGCAGTTGCTCTTGTATGCTCTTGTTGAAAACCTTCTAGGACTCGACTTCTGTGTGCTTCTGACCCGGGCAGGCAGCTGAAGGGGACGCTGCCCAGCAGAAGGCAGGGTTTTCTGATGTTTTCTGTGTCCGTGTAATCAACCTGTTTGCAGCAACCGCAACGACTCGAACATATTTGCATATATTTGCAATATTTTGCAATATTTTGCAATTCGTTTCATAACGCCGAAGTTTTGCGGGCGTCAAGGGGGAGGGAATGTTGCTTCATAAGAAGAGCTGAGCAAATTAGGTCGAACGTTGATTCGCCATGACTCCCCATCTAGATGTTTGAGCGCCACAAGTTCGAAGATGTTTGAAGTCGGCTTGAAGCCGCGATGCCTTTGGTCAGATGATCAAAAGCTGCATGCTACATCTCCAACTGGGGTTGTGGCCTGTGGCTGTGATTGTTGGCTGATCTGGGAAAGAGTTTTGAAGTTGCTTTGGTGGTGTTCTGTGCGAAATGAACTCTGAACGATGCCGGTGTTGTAGTTCGATTGCGCTTGCTGGTTCATACCTTTGGAATCCTTTTGAATCCATTTTGGGGCCTGTTGATGTGCCTTCTTTTCTACTGCAATGCTTGCACTCAGGAGCAAACAGCAGGACGAAATGCTTTACCTTCCACTTAGTCACTTTTCGAATCATAACAAATCGCAACAATGCTGAATGCAGGGCGAAACCACAGAAGATGCGCACGCTGCAGCTGAGGCACAGACGGGGGTAGGTTTCTAAGAAGATGGACAATAGTTGACGTTGCCAGATTTAGTCTGTGCATGTTTGTGCAAACGTTCTTCGTGATTGTAGGCATCTTCTTTAGTGTCTTCTTTAGGGCAGCAGAGGGTGGGGTACCAACAGTGACTTGAAATTATTTGAAATTGGGATACCTGGGCCTTTGAAGAAAATCTCGATGAATGCTGTGGGTGTGTGGAGTTGCGACTGTCGCTGTTCAGATGTGTAGTTAGAGACTCAACAAGAGGCGCCTGTACAAGTGGACCAGGTGTTTGAGGGGTTTGATTGGTTGTCCATGTTAGTGCTCCAGCATAGCTAGCTAGATTGCAGCTAGATGCTACAAGGCCCACACACAGGAGAAGCTTTGATTTCATTCCAAAATGATCAAATGATCACTGTTTTTCCGGGGCCAATGATCTCCAATCCGTGAATCAATTTCTGTGTAGAAAAAATGTGTGTCATCCATGTGTTTTCAAGAATGCGGCTACCTGGCACCAGTTGTTGGTCCATGTATCAATGCATGAATACTTTCTATTTGCAAGGGGTGTCCGCATCTTATATGATATATAAGCTTTAAACATGTAGCTGACTAGGGTTTTGATCTTGGAAGCGTTCCCTCTACACTTGATTTGTGCTGCAGCTGCAGCCTTTTGGAAATCTTTTGTTTTTCAGGCGCCAGCGGGGAGGAACTGTTGCTTTCTAAGAAGAGCTGAACTACAATTTAAACGTGGAGATCGTTCGCCGCGACTCCCAATCTAAGCGCGTGAGCGCCACAAGTTTGAAGTTGGTTTGAAGCTGCGATGACTTTGATCAGATTATCAAAAGCAGCATGCTACACGTCTCCAACTAGGGTTGCGACCTGTGGTTGTGATTGTTGGCTGATCTTTAACTTCAGCCTTGAAGTTAGCTTGGGCTTTGTTCTGTGCAATGTGAACTCCGAATGTTGCTCTCGCCAGGAGCACTGGCCAGAGGGCACGCAGGGTCGTGAGTGGCAGGTTGGGCGAGTGACTGACCGGAGGTTTCAAGTCAGGGACCAGAATCAAAGCTCCCAGCGCCCCTACCCACATGTCACATCGTGCCCATCGCCACCTTCAACTGTTCTTGCTGGCTCATACCTTCGGAATCCTTTTGCATTCTTTTGATGTGTCCACTTTTCCACTGCAATGCTTGCATTCAGGAGCAAGCAGCAACACGAAATTCTTCATTGTTTCCTTCTACTAAAAACATCTAAAAACATCTAAAAACCATGTAAAAACAAAGCCAGACGATGCCCGAACGCAGGGCGGAACCACAGAAGGTGGGCACGATGCAGCTGAGGCCCAGATGGGGGGTAGTTTCTGGGGAGAAGATGGGCAATAGCTGGCGTTGCCAGCTTCAGATTATTTAGTGCAAACAGTGCAAACTTCCTTCGTGATTGCGAGAATATGCGAGAATCTTTTTTGGGGCACCAGAAGGATGGAGCAGGAATCACAATGACGTGAAACCCCGATTACAAACCATCTCTTCGTTCCTCTTGACATTGCCTTCCCTTTTCATCTCTTTTTCTTGACATCTCTGCCTTTCTCTCGGCATCTCTGTGTTTGCTCTTCTCTGTCTCTTGACATTTCTTTTCTGTCTTAGGTGATCTATCTAAAGGTCCTTGTACAGAGTTTTTATTGCGTGGGAACCATCGCGAAAGTTTTTTCGGGTTCTCGAAAGTATATCACTTTTTTTTCCGAAAGTTTTGCGAAAGTTGGATATTACGAATCACATTGTCCTCTTTTCTACTCGTCTCTTCTCTCCTCTGCTCTTCTCTGCCCTGCCCTTCTCTACCTGCCTTACCCTTCTCTATTCTGTTTTTTTTCACCTTTCTTTTTTTGTTTGCTCTACTCCACCCCACCCTTCTTGAGTCTGTTCGTCCCTACTGCCTTTCTCTACTCTGCTCTTTTCTATTCTTCTTTACTTTTCTCTTCTCCATTCTACTCTGCCCGACGCTACTCGTCTTTACTCTGCTCTTCTCTACTCTACTCAACCCGACTCTATACCCTTCTTTGTTCTGCTTTTCTTGCATGCTCTCAACAAGGAAGGTTCTCCTCTAAACTTCTTTTGATGCTAGATCGAAGCTAGCCAGGAGGAAACGCTGCTTCACAAGAAGACTAATTTGGTCAAACGTGGAGATGGGTCGCCACGGCTCCCAATCTTGGCTGGAGGTAACTGTTGGCTGATCTATGGAACCAGTTTTGAAGTTAGTTTGGGTTTTGTTCTGTGCGAAGTGACCTCTGAACGATGCTTTGCTAGGAGCAACAGCAATGGCAAGGCTCTGCGTGGCAGGTGGGGGGAGCGACCAGTGGGGCTGCAGGTCAGGGGCAGGAATTCAGACCCGTTGGTGATTCGGTTGCGTTTGCTGCTTAATTTTATATTCATTATATAATTAAATTATATATATATATACATATACTATGTATATATATTTAGTCATATTTATATGAAATTATAACTGTATAAATGTATACGGTTGAATCCTTGTGATGTGTTGTTTTGTCCATAACAATGCGTGCATGATACCAAGGACAGCCACGAACTAGAGGGGTTTGGGGGTTTTCCAGTGCATGTTGCATCTTCGTGGTCAATGGCTGCCTTTTTCCATCTTTTCCCCAAGCACTGCGGAACCCCTTACGGGAAGGGTTATTTATTAAGCGCCCGCTTTGATTGAGTTTACATCGTGCTTGCGCGCGCATCGCTCTCGTTGTGGCACGGTGACCGGTCCGGTGTTCATTTTAGTCAATTGACAGAGGCATCATTTGCACGATCTTGTGCAGAGCTCCATTAGGATCCGTGTGCAGAGATTCTGTGAGTTCCTCGAGCCGAGCGGGTCCTTGTAAAGAGATCTTGTGCATACAGAGATCTTGTGGGATCTTTGCCAGTTCCTTCAGGGATCCTTGTTCAGAAATGCTGCGAGTTCCGTTCAAGGATCGCACAGAGCGCGTGGGTCAGGGATATCCTGAGTTCTTGGAAAGGAGCCCTGGACAGATGCTGTGAGTTCGTTGGCATGGCCCTGGTGCCTTGTGACTTCCTCGACATGGCCTGTGTAAAAAGATCCTGTGCGTTCTTTTCAAGGATCCTTTGCACTCAGATCCTGTGAAATCCTGACAAGTTCCTTGTACAGAGATTTTGCGAGTTCCTTTCAAGCATCCTTGCATGGAGGTCCTGTAAGCTCCCCGAAACAAGGCCCTTCCAAAGAGATTTTGCAGGTTCCCCTAAACTCCTAAACAGGAGCCTTGTACTATCTTGTACTAGTACAGAGATCTTGCAAATTCCTCTGCAGGAATTGTTTGCGCAGATCTGCTGAGTTCGATGTTCGATTGAGTTCGTTTGAACAAATCCTTGCGCAAAAAGACCCTGTAATTTCCTAGAAAGGCTCCTCGCACAGAGATTATGAGTTCAGTTCCTTTACAGGGCCTTTGTACACAGATGTACACAGATCCTGTGAAGTCCCTGACAGGATCCACAGACTTGGTGGGTTCTCCTCAAGCATCCTTGTGGAGAAAGCGTTTTGCTACAGAGTTGCTTTCAAGGATCCTTGTATGGAGATCTTGTGAATTTCCATGACTTTCCTGCGAAGCTTGTAGATAGATTGTGTGAGTTCCTTCAACGATTCTTGTTTTGAGATCCACTGGAAGTTCTTAGTCCTACACAAGATCAATCCTTCGATCCTTGTATAGGGATCCTGCGAGTCCTTGTGCAGAGGTCCTGGTGAGTTCCTTTAGTTTCCCCAAATTATTTCCACCACACTTGTTTGGGGCCCCTTGCTGGAGCAATTAGATGGTGTTTTTTTGCTTGTGGATGTGCATGCGCAAATTCTTTGGCATGTCATGCTGTTCCTGCGGTTGCACACACGTGCAACACGAGCACATTCTAATCTTTGCAATGTGCAAGTAAGTGGCTTTTGTCTTCCTAACCGTTAATCCGCATTGTTTCCCTTTGAAAATGCACTCGCCCTGTGACTGCACCAAAAAACAGTTTCACCGTTTCACCCGCAAATTTACCATAAGAGTGCCGGTCTTGCACATATGCTGCACATGCATTGCATGGCAATTCACAGGCAAGTCAGCGGTGGCTGGGCTGTGCACCGGGGCAACAATTTCATAGCTTTAAATTTATCATCATAATAATGCTACTTGTTAGGTGAGCAGCAGGTGTTGTTGCTAGGTGTGGGGGGTGTGGTGTTGCGGCGCTGCTTGTTCAGCAAGGGGCAGCAGTTGTGACATTGTGACGCGTCTGCGTCCGCTTGCATAAGCATGCATGCATGTGTGCATGCATTACCTTGCATTGCGCTGCATTGTGTTGCATTGCATTACATTACAGTACCTTACCTTGCCTTTCCTTACCTTACCTACATTGCCTTGCATTAAGTTGCACTATGTTACACTACACCACACTACACTAAACATCACTAAACTACACTACATTACATTACGTTGCACTACATAATACTATTTTACTTTAAATGATTGCATGATATCAAACTGCATTGTGCACACATGCATGCATACCTACATACCTACATCCCTACATACCTTGATACCTAAATAAAGCTGCGTACCTGCCATACGTGCACACGTACATACATGATCATACATGATCATACATGATCATACATGATCATACGTGATCATACATGATCATCCATGCAAACATGCAAATATACATAATAACATGTGCCCGAGTTCATGTGTTGTCATCCATAGGCCCAAAAAACACAACTCTCCAGACAGAGTCTCAGTGCTTCAAGGCACAGCTTAACAACTTGAATGTTAGCAAGGACAGCTAGGCATCTCTCGCTGTCCAATTTCAAGACCATGTGCTCTAGGATAGTAAGACTAATCGACTAGTTCCTGCTCTGATATGCAAATTATATATCAAATTATGGCTGCCGCGTTTTCAAACTTGTTGCAGAACCGTTTCCATTTGGCACGATGAATCTATGTAATTAATTATAGAAGCCTGTCACTGTTCCTTGGAAACAAGCGCTTCCTGCCTCCGCTGACTTGGGCAGGCGACTGTAGCTGACGCTACGCAAGAGAAGGCAGGCATGATGCGTCCGCGGGATCAGCGTATTTACCGCGACAAATGACCCCAGGTTTGCACCTGCTTGCATCGGTTTGGAAGAAGCGAATGGTTTTGGCTTCAAATTGGGTTCAGCAGTGTTGTTTTAAGAAAGGCTGAGCTAGTTGGGTCACATGTGCAAAATGTTTGAGCCCGGCTCCGAATCTCAAGTCATGTGCACCAAATGCGGTCGTGGTGTCATCAGATTGTCACAAGCTGCGTCTTGAATATCCCCAGCGGGGGTTTGGATTTTGGTCGTGATTGCTAGCTGATCAAGGAAACAGGTCTTGGAGTTTGCCCGGACGGTGTGCTAGGAGCATTGGCAAGGGTATTATGCACCGTGGCAGGTTGGGCGGGCAGTGGGGTCCGAGCTGGGAGACAAGAATTGTAGCATGCATCCATATTTGCCCACATGCCATCGCCATCCTGCAGGCTTAGTTCGATTGTACTTGCCCGTCGCGGGCGTGTGTGTATGTGTGTGTTTGTGTGGTATGGGTGTACCTGGAAGCAACGGCAGCACATTTTTGTTCACCTTCTGGACGCAGGGCGGAACCACAGAAGGTGCCTACACCTCAGCCGAGGCCGAGACGGTGGTAGATTCCGAGAAAAAATTGGGCATGAGCTGTGCTGGTCCGGGCATGCAGCTGTAGTGGATTTTGCGCATGATTCAGGGGTCATGTGTCCGTGTGATCAGCATTTTTGCAGCTGATGCAGCGGCTTGAATTGGAATAAGAAGTGTTGCGGGTGCCACCCAAGAGTAGATCCCAATCTCAAACTATGAAAACCACAAGCTTAGCTCAAAGTTACTAGAAGCCATGACGTCTTTGGCGATTTGGTCAGATTGTGGCAAGATGCGTCGATCTACATATCTCCAGCTGGGGTCGTGAGTTTTGGTTGTAATTGTTAGTCGATCGAATCAGGGAAGTACTTGCGCTAGGAGCCCTGGCAGAGTCATACCCAGTGGCAGCAGGCCAGGGCAAGAATTTAAGGTCCGATCCACATGCCAATGTTTGTAGGATTGCATTTGCTGCTCCTTTGCTGCTCCTCATGCTTCTGGTTGGGCTTCTGCTGCTTCAAAGAAGAAACAATCAAACGATTGTTGGAAGCAACTACTGGCAATACTGCGCAAGGACAACTTTTGTTTTGGTAGGCAATTTCGGTGGGCAACCAAACAGGAGAACATTATTTGTTGCCCACATCAATGCCTGGGGTTCTTCTTCCCTACGCTGCATCCCCTGTCCTCCTCGTCCTCCTCCTCGTCCTCCTCCTCGTCCTGCTCCTTCCGCCCTCCTCATCCTCCTCCTCCTCCCCAGTCAACTTATTTTTATCAACTCATCTGTCTCAACTTTCATAGGGTCATAGTGGGGGGGGTCTGTGGACCGGGGGCAACTGTCGAGTTCCGTTTGAGTAGGATCTGAGTTGCTATTGTAAGTATAAATAAGCAAGATCTTGTAGACACACAATTCAGCCAGATTGAGAGAGATTGAGGGCATTTGAGGTTCGTTTGAGGTTTGTGGAGAAAATTCATCTTTGAACGCAAAAATGTTGGATTGAGTTGAATTTGAAAACTGGTTTTCCCTATCAACTTAGCATATCAAACTTACCTCTTTCAGTATCATTCTCTGCCAAGCCTCTCTAGACCGGCTTGCCGTTGTCGCTGCGCGCTTGGGCGCTGTGGTCCAGCAAGCTGACGTTTAGCGAGCTTACTTCAAAATCATCAAACTCAAATCAAACACCAACCCTACTATCTATCTATTTCAACTATCACACTTATCTCTACCACATTTGTATACATTGCCTCTATCAAATTTACCCCGGCCCAGCGTATTCCTATCAAATGGCCTTTGTCCAAACTTATTTCCGTTCGGTTTCGCATTAACGCCGGTAATTATTACTGGCGAATGAGTAAATCCCAGGTTATTAATTTGGGGGGTTCCCAAAATAGTATAAACAAGTGATATTGCATGATATTGCCCTATAAATGGTACCATCATGTACCATCCCAATTAGTCAAACAGGGGTATATCAATCATTATTAATCCTGGGTCTATATTTATTTTCTCCGTTTCAATCTTACCTGTATCAGATTTGCCTTTGTCCAATTATTCTCCTTCAAACTTACTTGCGTAAAACTTATTTTTGATTATTTTTGTCTATATAACTTATTTCTATCCAACGTTCCTTTTAAAATTTATCTAATTTGCATCCGCCCACCTTTTCAGTATCAAATTACCTCTGTCCAGATTATCTCCAACTTTTCTTTGTCCAACTTACTTTGAGTTTGACTCTGACTCTATCCAACCTCCCGTTCAAAAAAAAATCCGGTCGTGTTTCTCTGTCCTTTCTTCTATGTCATGTCTCATCTTTTCACCCTGACACAACCCAGTGTTTCACCCCATCTTCATCATCCAATCTCTCTTCTTTCTTCTCCTTGACTATAGGAAGGATTGACATGTGGGGTTATCGTCTTTATTTTTCAATAACAAGGAGAGGCAGTAGAGACCAATTCGCGCAAAAGTAGAAGGGTTTGCTTGAAAGGAAGTGAGCCACAATGACTTGTAGCCTTCCAAGTGTTTATTTGAAAAAGATTCGCTGCAACAGTATCACCTTCGCAGAATCCATGTGAAGAAAAGATTGGCCTGTGAAGGAAGGAGGGTCACAAGTGTTCTTGAAGCCAGTACGTGCAATGCGCAAGACTGTTGGAATGATTAGCGCATATTAGCGCATGTCTTCAAAGAACCTTTAGCTACCATACCTGCAATATCTTTCGATAGTTTTCGCGTTCTTTTTTTTCCCTTCTACAAATTCATATTCTCGGGATTTCGCGGGGCCCTTCTTAGGGCTCTTGACTGGGCTGGCCCTGGACTTTGGGCTTCTGTGTGGTTTCTAGCTTCGTTTGAACACTTCGCATGGCCGGCACTGGCCGGCTTCTTTTTGACATTGAGTCTCCACCCTGGTCATCTTCACCAGTCTCCCTGGTTTCTTGTGCTGCCTTCATCTTCTTTCCACGGGGCTTATCTCTTTCCATGGCTGGGCTGGGTCAAGGGGGCAAAAAAGGTTTCAGCGCAGCTTCTTGACTTCTTGCCAACCTTTCGCCCCACAAAACCATACAAAACCTAGTTTGTAAGATTTTGTAAGCGTATTCTTCCTTCTTTGCTGTTCTTGTTACTGTTTTACCTATACTTGACATTAACATTACCAATACATTACCACAACATTGTGACGCAGCATTCCCGAGAAACATGCATAAAAGATACAACAGCCACAGAAGTGAGGTCACAGAAGTGAGACCATAATGGGTAGAAAAGATCATTTGAGTGAATTGAAGGCAGCAAAGGTAGCCCGCCAACCTAAAAGCTGCATCCAGCCTGATAAACATCAAAACCGAAACTTCTGCAAATTTGCAGATTCAGGCAATACCCAACAGCTTCCATTTTTCTTTTTTTTGCCTTCTGTTCCCTGTGTCTAGGCACATCAGTGGAACCAGTGGCAACAGGCGCTTTGCTCCACCGCGCAGACAGTGATGCAAAGAAATGCCTTTTGAGTTTGCACAGATGATCTCAGATGCTTTGAACTGCATTCAAAGATATGCAAAGTTCATCAAAGTTCAAACATTGCAAGATGTTGCGAACATCAACCGAGGAATACAAACAGAAGAATGTTCGTAGATGTTCGTAGCAATTTGAAATACGCACCCGGCATGTGAGCTGACCAGCCTGGCGCAGCGCTGCCGCCTTGAAATTCTACTGGATTACCTGTGAGCCCCTTGTGTAGATTGGTTTGATATGTAATTATATAATATTTCGGCCCATTGTCAACCCATTCTTTTAACTTATTTTACACATTTTAAAAGACACGTGCTCACGTGCTGCTATTTATTATATACTATATATATACTGTAATTTGTTCGATTATTTTGGATGTTCAATCTTTTATTTATAATATTGATTATCTATCAGTCAGCACCTTTTTACGTACATATTCGTGGAATACATTTATATTTATTATATATTATTGCATATGTCAGGATTCTGCTTAGCACAAAGAGAATAAGTATATACACAAGATATCACAGAGAATAAGCAGCAGATGCAATAACATACTTCCACGCACACGCATGCACTTTGCTAAAGGCCTTCTTAAACTAGGCCTTTAGGACTGAGGTTTTCTCTGTGTGATGATTTTTGAGGTCGTATTTTTGTGAGACTTAGCTAGCTGAGTGCAGCAGACACACACACACACCCACCCACGCGCACACGCGGACACACGCACAGGCACGCACGCACAGGCAGAGGCAGAGGCACGGGCACAGGCACACGCGCGTGTACGCGCGCACACTGCACATCATCCACTAAATGCTACACACTGCACACTTTGTTGTGTTTTGTTGAGACAGGGAATTGTTGGCGTGTTGGTGCGAGGTTTGGAATCGTGGCATTTGAGAATGGGCCAAAACACAACTACTCCAGCCACATGCCTTTGCTGTGATTTGTTAATGCTGCACTTGCAGCGATCGCCGTGCCACTGTTTTTGGAATCGCAATGATTTGGCAAAACAATACAAAATAACCAAAGCCACCCGGTGTCTTGTGATTGTTTGGCAGATGCATGCAGATGCAGTATGTGACCTGTGCAGACAAATTACACTTTCGTTGCAGAATTTACTGACAGAGTGAGTCCAGTTGGACACGCGTACGACATTTCCCTGGCATTTGGAGGAACAAACGTTCACTCCCGCCGTTGACGTTGGCGACCCCAGACTCGCAGCTCGGAACCTTTAAGATGTACAATGGAATGACGTGGTGTGTTGAATTAGAATTATTTCATACAGCCTTACCCGCCTTACTAGCCTTACCCGCTTCCCAGCACATGGATGCAAATGGCATGTCATACCTGGTGGCCAACACCACAATGCCATGCCATGCCCTTGAAATCCCTTGAAATTTAGTAAAGCCTCTAAGCCGTTGAAACATGTGAAAGCATGGTGTGAAAACACGTGTTTTCACATGTTAACACCCTTTCGGTGCCATACATTTGAGGTGGAGATCGTTTCCCCGCCCTTCACCTTGGGGGAAGATGATGCTGTGAAACAGCAGAATGCACAGAGCTTAAAAGCGAGAGCGAAGAGGTCCTGAAAAGAAAATATGTTTGATATCAAGTAACCGAAGAAGATAAGATATTGCAAGATCAATATTTTGGTTTATTTTGATTCATTAGTCGATTTCGATTTGAGAAATTGAATGGAATGATTAAAGCAAACAAAGCATATGAGCAGATTGTGGCAGACTTTTGCATATTCCAGCAAGTCCTGTGGGATCTGCGCACAATGCAGAGGCCACTGTGGGGCAGGAAGGGGACGAGGCTCGAAAATGCACGTTGCAAAAGTTTCACAGCACCAAGTACATCCAAGTACTACACAACAAGATACGCACATTGCGCAAAGCGCAACGTATTTCTAAATCCTGAAAAGAAAATAAAAGAAACATGCGGGCCGTTGGGCATTGAATTTTGATCCACATGCTCAAATGGTGTAAATTTAGTGTCTACATTGAGCTGCTACATGTTGCTACATTCATACATATATATTCGACATAGTAAATGAACGCATTGTTTTTCTATGTTTTTCTCTATTGGTTCAAATACAGTATGTGCAATGATTATTTTAAGATAAACACTAAGATACGGGATGCATCTACCCAACAAACGAAGATCTTAGTATCTTTTGACAGTTGTTGTACTTTCTGCGCACCTTCCACAAGTCACCCATCTTGTATCAGTTGAGTTGCTGCCTCTTTGTTTGGTTTTGTGTGAGTTCATTTCCTTCCAGAGCTGCTCCATAGACTATTGAATGGATCTGAATGGCAAGTGGCCACTGAGATCAGGTTGTACGGTTTCATACATGTTGTTTTCCACAGGTACATGCCGTTGAAGTAGTCCCCCAAGGACAAAAAGTGACCCTAAGCAAAGGCTAAGGATTTGCTAGTGCTCAATTGCATGGCCATTGTCTTGTCATAAAGCAAACCTACATTGCAATAGCAGAGTTTCGTGGTTGACCCAAACTACATGGGGTCTTGAAATGTGTTCGGGTAGAAGATTCCGTGAACGTTTGCAAGTTCCAAGGCGATTTAATCAGAAATATGCGTCGAACGTAGCTAGGTGGCAAAACCCTCCAAAACCCCGCTCCACCCAGTGCCCTGCAAATTCCTTTAACAAATAGTTACAAGAGATCAATTGAGGAGAATTTTTGCAGATCACATGATCAAATGGTCATTTTTGCGGCAACACAGTATTACACCCCCGTTGTTCTGCAGAGACGAATGCACCTCACGCACCTAAGGACTTGAAATATTTTACAGGGATTCCTCTCTAAAACATCCAACGTGTCGAGCATGGGCAGACAGACATGAGCTTTGTTGCCAGGGGACATGGTGGGAAGAGGTCGGGTGGGAACGGTAGACCGGTACTGCCAAGTGGAGCACTTTCATAAAGAAACAAGAAACCTTGGAAGCATTGGACTCAAAAGAATTTACAGTAAAGAAACATCGTGTTTTCAAAGGCAACAGCTTGTGAGCATGGCTTCGTTGTGTTTTTATTTTGGCTCAATGGTGGACTGAAGAAACATCACGCAAAAGAAGCATCGGATCCGAACGACACCGTCAGCAATGTCAACATCAATCGGACATTTGGGATGTTTGATGAAGTGAAATATTTTTTTTCGTCATTTCCTCTTGACATCTCTTGAGAAGTTACAAGCAACACGGGCCCAGTGGTCATTGCTTAGTCGTCTTAGTTGTTTTAGTCGCTGTCGGGGCTCAATGTGGAGCTCGGAGCCGGACCATGCGCGGGATTGGGGGCACCTTGGCAATTTCTTGACCAGTCAGCACTTTGTCAACGCGACTTTGCAGTGATCAATTGATATTCAATTATATTTTCGATTGATATATTATATAATATATAATTATTCCCGAAAATCCAGTGATTCCAGTAGGTCGGCAAGCATACCTGGAGTTTTGTTGTGTCGAGATCCAAAGGCAGCATGACCACTGAAAGATCGATTTCCTGCGCATTCAGTTGACCGCGGCGACATGCGGAATATGTAGGGATAAACCACCGAGGATTGTCGACCAGGGCAGTCGTCTATTGGGAAAGATGCAAGGCTACGTCCAGGGACACACCCCGTTAGAGACCCAACGAGTATGTCACAAGGCAGCACTTGGGACTGGGAACACCTTCCTGTAGAAGTATCCTGAGACTTGCAAATGTCTCGGGCAGATGCTTGCCCAATGAGTCCTTGCTGCTTTAGAAGTGCTTCTAGTGCCTACCAGATTTGACATTCAGACCTATTGTTTGTTTGCCTTTTCTATTGAGTATGGTTAGATTCCGATCTTTTGTCCCGCACTGTAAGTCCACGCAGTTTGCCTCTGGAATGAATCTCATTCTAGTTCGAATCTGAGGCACTGATTGCCTCTTCATCCCGCTTTTTGTGGCCGCAGTGCTTGGCTTTTTCCTCTGCATTTCCCAGGCACAACCGGAACTGTCTGAGAGGGTTATATATTTTTCCTTTTCACTGAAATTATTTAAGGATAAAGTAAAATTCTCAGATCAGCATTTCAAACACAAAGACAGCTAACATAGCAACCAATTCGGCCTAGAAGGAAATCCAGCAAAGCATGGAGAGGAAGCAATGACTCTGACATGAGTCTCTAGGCGTCGCTGAACTATCTGTACTATTTGCATGAACAACACTGAAATCAACAAGACACATGGAATCCACAACAACATGCAACAAATATACAGATGAAATCAGATGAAGCTGGATGCCCATAGCTCTCAACCAATTTTGATTTGAGCCCCTTCACATGCTCCAAGATTTCACCATATTGCCAGTCAATTCCACACAACTTACAGGTTGATGGGATTGTGATACAGTTTTTGGGGGGACTGGTAGGACTCCATGGGGGAAAATGGAGAACTCAGACTCCCAGACCCAAGATTCTCTAGGGCTGCCTCCTTGCTCATCCTGGCCCCATAGCCCAGTGGAATGAAGTTTTTGAGTCCTGGTCTCTTGAAATTGACTTTGCTTTGGTGGAACCCTCGGAATGAAGAGTTCAAGCAACTTATGGCAGCTTGAAATAAATATTTGTTTCACGTCGTGTCCAATGAGGGAAGAAGATGGAAGAGGTCGCCAAAGACACAGAAACAGAAAGGCCAATAAGGTCACCATAATCGTAATATGAATTTCATGTTTCACCATTCCTTATATTGTTTCAATAGTAGAATAAACCTGAAGAAACTAGACTTATCCTATGTCATGTCATGTCCCTTTCGTGTAACACCATTTTCTATCTCGCCTGCCGAAGGCTGTGGAGAAAGGAAGCTTCCAACGTTTGACGTCGCTGCCAGACTTTGAAGGGAACTTGTGCCTAGGCCGAACGCTGAAGATGACGATGAAGTTGACGGGGCCGAAGACAATGACGAGATAACCTTGGCACATTCAGAGACCTCATGATCCTCATGTTCAGAAGATTTTGGGAGCACTGGTCACTATTTCAAACGCTTGATAGCAGACTTCATCGAGTCGAGGCAGTAGGGGCCCAGTAAATTCAGAGCAGTGCTGCTTCCTTCAAAACCAAATTCAACGGAGGGCTGGAAAGGTGTGTTATTTTCCCCATCTTTTTCCAAGAGAAAGAATAGTCAAAGGTAGAAAAACACTTGTTGGCAATACTGATGCTGTTTGTCTTATGGCTTGAGAAAATTGTTTTTTGCAAAGCCACAGGTTTCAGTCAGGATGTTGAGTACTGAGTAATTAATTCACATCATTGCAGGAACATCGGGGAATATGGGTTATTTGTTACCCTTCCTATCTGAGTGTGAAGGCAACGTGCAATTTGCCAGCAGCTGATCATAACAAACTCAACACTCAACATTAAGAAAAACAATATTTACGTTCTACAGAGTGGACCTATGTCTCTTAATGTTCAAGGGCTTAATTGTGAACATTCTAGTTTGATAGTAATAGGGTGGGAGCCCCTTTGACCAACGACCTTTGACTAGCAGCTAGGGAAATAGCAGAAACAGCAAGAGGACGCAATCTTGTCAAGGTCTATACCTTCTCTAGACCAACAAGAAATAAAGAATAACATTGCAAAACGATGCAAAGTGTCTTGATTTTCATTAGACTGTCTGAAAAGAAATCAGCATGTGAGCAGACCTCTAGAGCAACCTTTGAGCCCTCAGGTGCGGTACCAATGGTCAAGGTCCTTACCTGTACTTTTGCCGCGAACAAGGAATTGGAGACTTGGAGCAGCGCAATTTTGGACCATATTCTAAAGCGATTCTTACTTTGCCCGATGTGATTGAACACTGACACCTCTGAGACATTGGGACTGAGACAGAGGTTGAAAGATTGGATGGGAGATAATGAGAGATGATGAGGGATGGAAAAACATCAAAAAGAACTTGGTCCAAAATTTCTTTTTGGAACGGGTTTTGTATCGCAATTGCGCGTTCTCTGGGGTCAAAGGTGGGACTGCCTGCGGTTTTGGGGGTCCCATTTGACCCATGTCATGGTTTCTCAGTTGCCAATAGAAAGCGTGGGGTTCAGCATTTTCCTTAGGGTTCTCCTTGCTCGTTTCAGGCATTCTCAACCAATTCCCGTCCCCGAGCAAAGGAAATATCAAGCAATACAATGCTTCTCCTCATGATTCCTCATGATCCTCATGTTTCTCTTTTGCAGGCGAGTAGGCGCGTGCACCTCCTGCATGTACACTACATGCAATATAGTAATTTCTTTGGATAGAAATAGCTACGTCCAAAAAGGGCCTTTGGTTGCAAACAGCTTGCCGTGCAAAGAGCTGATAGGAACAGCTGGGTGTACAGAGGGTTTTGACAAAGTGTGCAAAGACATCGCAAACCATGATCCTAATTACTTTGTCGCAGTTGTCGTCAAAAAGGTCTTTGAAGGTCAATGCTTTGTCCCATTCGTTACAGGGCCTGTCCCTGATAGTAATTCCGTGTTTGAATGATAGCGTGGTTTGTCCATGTTTTGTCCCTGACGGTAAATGCTGTGTTTCAGTTGTAGAAAGGCCTGCCCATGGTGATCAATGCTGTGTCCGAGTTAAATTGGCTGTTCGTGATACTAAACGCTATGTCACTATGTCCCAGTTGAGCGACGTTTTCTTCAAGCATGAAAGAGTTAATTGCAAAGCTTGAACTGGATCTTGCTTTTGGTGTACATTCCCTCGCCCAGTCTAGGATTGGTGCAAGCGTTTTTGGGTTGCCAAAACTGATCCACGTGCCACTACTTGTTTATTCCTAAATACGCTGCAATTCATCTAATGTGGCTTCAAGCTCGTGTATCACCGATTTCGGAATTGTTACGGATTGTCCATGTCGAAAAGCCATGGCACAAGAGCTGGAGAACAAGCCTCTCACAGGAGGGAAAAGAGTAAAGCAGTAGCTGACAAGAAATTGCAAGACTCTCATATCCCAATTAGCTATATAAATCACACCCAAATTGGTTACAGGCTCCTGGGAACTCTGGAGTTTTGGAGGTGCGAAGGCTTTGGGGTCCAGATTGACCATGAGCCTAGGACCAGGACCACTTTTCTTTGTAGTTGGTCATGGTTGCCTGGGTGGTGATTTTTTGGAGGGGATGATGGGGCCATGTTGGTAGTTATATATATACATGGGTACCCGTTTCCATGTTACCCACCGAATTCCCGGGATATTTTAAGGTCAGATGTGGAAAAGGGCGTCAGGAATGACCAGGGCCAACGTGTCACACCAAACCGCAAGACAGCAACGGAGCAAGCCGAGCATTTTTCGCATCGTTTCTTTTTCTTCCTGGGGTTCTTGCGCGGCTTTCCCAATATGTGAATGGTGAAGCCAGCTGCTCATTGTCTAAGGATTGGATTTACAACACCAGATTTGCCTTGAACAGTGCCCTGTTGACAGTAGCAGCCAAATCTTCTGTCGTGGTACAGGGACTACGCAGATGAGCTATCCGACGCATTCCTTGGCTGGAATGATATGCATGCCAACAACCTCTGATTTGGCCAGTGACATCAAGTGACTTGTCCAGACCTTTTTGGTATATCTTCACGGATTTGCCATGGTTGCTACTATATGTCTCTGATATGTTGCTATGTTTGAGTGTTGCGGTTCGGTCATGGTTTCGATGACGTTCAAATGCTATTGTATGCTATTGAGGTTTGTGTGTGAATGGGCTGCCTCAGTGCAAGTAAAGCCCGAAAACTTCATGTCATTATGCAGCGGGGCCATGCACGCTTTGTGAGCGATGGTCCAACAAAGCAGCCACTGCACCTGCCGTTATCGAAGCTGAATATATAGAAAACCTAAGAAGTGCAGCATGACGGTTCAAGTGTGCGCGCGTTTATGTTGGGTTCTGCGGTGGTTTAGGCGCAAGATCAGCTGGCATTGGCATAGTTTTCCCGAGTGTCGGGTGATGCGCCATGACTGAGGCATGTGTTCAACAACAATCCCTTTGCCACTTGGCGAATGGCACAGGAGATGACCTGGTTGAAAAGCATTAGGTTTAGTCTCCAAGTCCATGAAGCCGCATACTGTAGTGACAGGTGCGCCTAGCTATAGCATCAAAGTTGGGCTGAACATCTTGTTCCTGTCACATGCCATTGAACGTAGCACATGCATGCACATTCACCTATTCTCTTAAATTGGCATTCTCCCAAACCTTTTTCGAATTGTGTTCCGAAAGTTGTCGATTGAGGCCGTTCGCCAGCAACCAAGATTGTTGCGTTATATAATTTTTTCTTTGTTTCCTTCGTGGCGTTGGTCGGTCAGGTTTAAAACATTTTAAAACGTCGAATGACTGCCCAGACTATGGTATTTTATATTGGCGATATTTGTGGTGTGTGTGTGTGTGTGTTCCCGATTTTTTCCGCAAGGACACAGGATTTGATACGCGTACATACGTACTTATATAATCTTATAATATCTACTCTCCACGTTGAACTCAAGAAATGTATCCTTCGTTGCCTGATCTCCAGACCTCCATTTTTTCCCAAAGGCCAGGCTGGGAGTATATTCCAGCTTCAGTTCATATTCCACCTTCAGTTCAAGAGGTCAAACGGTAAACAACGTGTTTTGCACTTTCAAATCTAACAACATGACGCATTACCACACCTTGGACAAATTATAGCAATTCTCGCTTCAGTGTGACCTGGAAAAGGTTCATTGAATTTGTTCATAAATTGTGCCCAGGTTTGCATCGAACTAAAGTATGTCTTGGGATGTCTTGGGCATATGAAGAAGGGTTCAACTTCACCTGTGAAACCAAGAAATGCCCAGCAACTCCGCCAATGAACTAATGAATGAATTCAAGCGAGAAATGCATCACAGATTGGCAAAAGCCTTGAATGATCTTTAATTTGGTTGGGGGGTCCAGTGGTTTCTAACGGCTGACAAATCCCGGCTGGTGCAGGGGGACACAAGGAAGGACAAGAGGGACGCAGGGGACAGGTTGTGACATGATTGTTTTCTTCCTGATTCGGAGTCTACTGCATTAAAATTTGGATACCTACCTGAATTGAAAGATTTGCAGTGTTTACAGCATGCAGTTGTAGAGAAACAAACGCCTTACGCCTTTGCTCTTACACTGCCCCATAGTGCGATAGTACCGACACCTTCCTAGAACTTATGCTGCGAGTGACACTGTGACAGCATGTGACGTCACAGCTCTGTTTCGACATGTTTGTGCTCTTCAGGGCTATGCCTCTCAGCATTAGTATTATGTGGTTGCGCAAGCCGCGCATGGCATGGCGACAACTCTGGTGTATACATGTATAATTACTTACTCAGGTCAATGTTAGAGAAATCGTGGAGGTCCCAATTCTGCACGCAACAAGTTACAGCGACAGCGGATGATGGGTGAATAGCCAGTGAGATGTGAGAAAGTCTGCGACTGCGCCCGGTGAGGTGAAGACCTTGTTCGATGCCATGGAGGTAACCTATGACTGGGAGCAGCTGGTCGTGGCAGTCCGAAGCCTAAGGGCGCGACCGTCGCTACCCGTCCCTGCAGTATCCTGCAGTCCTCAAGATATTCGTTCGATGTTGCCATGGCCATGCGATGTCAACTTCGCAGCGCTGTAGGAGAGCGCAAGGGTTGCGCCAAGAAATTCTAAGTATCTCTAAGTTCAACACTGGTTGTGTGAACCATCTCTTCAGGTCAGTAGCATTCTGATGCATTCTGCACAGGTCATATTCTCTCACACGTCACATGCAACTAATTAATATTGAAGCACGCTGTTCAATTGCTGCACGCTGGTGTCCAAGGCCGTTGTGGCGTCGGTGCTATCCTATTTCTACATTTTTTGCATCTCACTCTGTGCAAATTGTTTGGTTTGGCTTTGCTTGCTTGCCCTCGTGGCCATCCCTACCTGCTTGGGCCTGGTTTATGTCTACATGTCAGCAAGGCAGGCCTGAAGAAACATGAAGAAACTGTGTTTCATTCTGTTTTATTGTTTCAACATGTTTCGACATGTTTCGACATGTTTCGACATTCACATGTCACATACCTTTGCATCCTTCGACATTTTTATGTAGGATCCTTTTGAAAGGCTCAATGTCGTCCCTCAGATGTGAACCTCTTCCCGTTCATCATGGTTCACCACTTCTGTCTCTCCAAGCGCAGCTGAAGTCAAACACGGCCATTCTTTCATTTTTGGCATTCCTTCGAGCTGTCATTTATCTTCACAACATGGAACATGGATGAACATGGATGAACATGGGGGATCATCGGAGGTGTGCGTTTTTCATTTGTTCAATCTCTGACATCTTTTGACCGCAGTCCGGAGATTGTAGTGCCCAACAGCATTCCTGGCACGATCACAACCGGGGATACTCAGAACCTTGGCGCGCAAAAGACCATGTTTTGTTTGCAATCCTTGAAGACGTGGCCAAAGCATCAACGTGCAGGGAAAGAGAGCAGACTCAGTTTGTCTCTTCGTTCCTTCAAGTTTTGTTTTGAGTACGTAGTGTGTTCAACCAAACAAAGCAAGCAAACTGTCTACTTTGGATTGCTGACTATGTGATGAAAATGTCTATGTGATGAATATGTGATGAATATGTTTGTCTACTGAGTCTACTGTACTTTGAATCCAGGAATGATCTCAGCTTTGGATTGGCTCTTTGTGGAATAGGCAGGAAGTCATTGCCAGCGGGTGCAGACTAGGGACAAGCCAATGGGCTGATAGGACATCGTATGACATTTGGATACATTTGGTGCAGTCAGTCTAGATTTAGATGCCCATAGTTTGCATGTCATGTGCGTTAATTATGCCTATGTATGTGTGCATACTTTTGCCAAGTTTTTCTCCGGGTTGTGGGGTTTTAGCACCGGGTTCAGAGGCATTTTGCTGGCTTGCGTCGCAGTCTGCAAAGCGCGGACGATCAAACTTGCCTTGACCAGCATCGAGGACGGTGTCACTGTTTGGCACGTTTTCACGATTCAAAAGATTTCGAAAGACAACACATCAATCTTTTACATTCTATTAAATTACCATCTATTAAATATACCATCTATATATTAGAATCTATTACCATCTATTACTTTATGATTACGATTTATTACTGTTTTCTTGATGTATTATCATGTATTATCCATGAGGCACGGGGTCACGGAGAGGTCCTGACACGTCCTGACAAGCATAGATCAGTACAGCTCACACGTTGAGTGACTCGACATGATTCAACCCAACGGCGTTACTTTTTGAAGCACTGGCCCCGGGTAGTGACCTTTGAGGTTGAATGCAACAGCAGAATGTAAGGCTGCAACAGCCACCTGTTGTGAGGCTTAGAATCTAAAAAAGGCTGCACAGGCAGAGGATGTAGAGGGCTGCTGTTCGAAAATGCCGATGCCACTATAAACAGTCCATGACGTAGTCGACGCTGCGCAAAGCGGGTTTTGAACTGCCCGCTTGCTTCCATGTGACATGAAGTGTGTAGTAGTCAAAGGCAAAGCTTTCAGGAAAGCGCAATCAGGCGTTTGTTTGGCAGTTTAAAGGATTGATTTGCATATCAAGAAGATTCTTGCGCAGTTGCCAAGAGCCCAAAGAATCCAAAAGGAAGATCGTGCAGCTCACAAGAAGTTCATACAAAGTTCTCAGAAAAAGACGTCCATTGAGTCAGAGTCCAACATCGTTCGCCATGGTCCATCATAGTCCATCAGTTCATTCGCGACCAGGAGGCGGCTGATTGTATCCGACAGATGCCTGTTCTATCTATCCAGCCTTGGATCAGCAGTGCGGTGACACTGTTGGTTTTCATCCCTGGAGTCATTGGTTTTTTGATGCTCAACATGTCCGGCGATTTGCCTAAGCAAGTTGATGCTCGCCACAGAGGATGTGTTCGTGTGACAAATGTGGTGTTTCATGTTGATTCTTGCAATTTGATGCGATTTGCAGAACCTGACACTTTGTGAGAACGAGATTCTCACGAATCTTTTTGACTGTGAAATGGTCGATCAGCATCACCTCCAGATTTTATGGCATATTTGGCGCTGTGATAATGTGGTCATTGTGCTGTCATTTGTCATCATTTGTCATCATTTGTCATCATCTGTCATCATCTGTCATCATTTGTCATCATTTGTCATTGCATTTCTGAAAATACCGAACATCAAGTCCCCTGGTGGGATCTGGATTTGATACGCGTACATACGTACTTATATAATCTTATAATATCTACTCTCCACGTTGAACTCAAGAAATGTATCCTTCGTTGCCTGATCTCCAGACCTCCATTTTTCCCAAAGGCCAGGCTGGGAGTATATTCCAGCTTCAGTTCATATTCCACCTTCAGTTCAAGAGGTCAAACGGTAAACAACGTGTTTTGCACTTTCAAATCTAACAACATGACGCATTACCACACCTTGGACAAATTATAGCAATTCTCGCTTCAGTGTGACCTGGAAAAGGTTCATTGAATTTGTTCATAAATTGTGCCCAGGTTTGCATCGAACTAAAGTATGTCTTGGGATGTCTTGGGCATATGAAGAAGGGTTCAACTTCACCTGTGAAACCAAGAAATGCCCAGCAACTCCGCCAATGAACTAATGAATGAATTCAAGCGAGAAATGCATCACAGATTGGCAAAAGCCTTGAATGATCTTTAATTTGGTTGGGGGGTCCAGTGGTTTCTAACGGCTGACAAATCCCGGCTGGTGCAGGGGGACACAAGGAAGGACAAGAGGGACGCAGGGGACAGGTTGTGACATGATTGTTTTCTTCCTGATTCGGAGTCTACTGCATTAAAATTTGGATACCTACCTGAATTGAAAGATTTGCAGTGTTTACAGCATGCAGTTGTAGAGAAACAAACGCCTTACGCCTTTGCTCTTACACTGCCCCATAGTGCGATAGTACCGACACCTTCCTAGAACTTATGCTGCGAGTGACACTGTGACAGCATGTGACGTCACAGCTCTGTTTCGACATGTTTGTGCTCTTCAGGGCTATGCCTCTCAGCATTAGTATTATGTGGTTGCGCAAGCCGCGCATGGCATGGCGACAACTCTGGTGTATACATGTATAATTACTTACTCAGGTCAATGTTAGAGAAATCGTGGAGGTCCCAATTCTGCACGCAACAAGTTACAGCGACAGCGGATGATGGGTGAATAGCCAGTGAGATGTGAGAAAGTCTGCGACTGCGCCCGGTGAGGTGAAGACCTTGTTCGATGCCATGGAGGTAACCTATGACTGGGAGCAGCTGGTCGTGGCAGTCCGAAGCCTAAGGGCGCGACCGTCGCTACCCGTCCCTGCAGTATCCTGCAGTCCTCAAGATATTCGTTCGATGTTGCCATGGCCATGCGATGTCAACTTCGCAGCGCTGTAGGAGAGCGCAAGGGTTGCGCCAAGAAATTCTAAGTATCTCTAAGTTCAACACTGGTTGTGTGAACCATCTCTTCAGGTCAGTAGCATTCTGATGCATTCTGCACAGGTCATATTCTCTCACACGTCACATGCAACTAATTAATATTGAAGCACGCTGTTCAATTGCTGCACGCTGGTGTCCAAGGCCGTTGTGGCATCGGTGCTATCCTATTTCTACATTTTTTGCATCTCACTCTGTGCAAATTGTTTGGTTTGGCTTTGCTTGCTTGCCCTCGTGGCCATCCCTACCTGCTTGGGCCTGGTTTATGTCTACATGTCAGCAAGGCAGGCCTGAAGAAACATGAAGAAACTGTGTTTCATTCTGTTTTATTGTTTCAACATGTTTCGACATGTTTCGACATGTTTCGACATTCACATGTCACATACCTTTGCATCCTTCGACATTTTTATGTAGGATCCTTTTGAAAGGCTCAATGTCGTCCCTCAGATGTGAACCTCTTCCCGTTCATCATGGTTCACCACTTCTGTCTCTCCAAGCGCAGCTGAAGTCAAACACGGCCATTCTTTCATTTTTGGCATTCCTTCGAGCTGTCATTTATCTTCACAACATGGAACATGGATGAACATGGATGAACATGGGGGATCATCGGAGGTGTGCGTTTTTCATTTGTTCAATCTCTGACATCTTTTGACCGCAGTCCGGAGATTGTAGTGCCCAACAGCATTCCTGGCACGATCACAACCGGGGATACTCAGAACCTTGGCGCGCAAAAGACCATGTTTTGTTTGCAATCCTTGAAGACGTGGCCAAAGCATCAACGCGCAGGGAAAGAGAGCAGACTCAGTTTGTCTCTTCGTTCCTTCAAGTTTTGTTTTGAGTACGTAGTGTGTTCAACCAAACAAAGCAAGCAAACTGTCTACTTTGGATTGCTGACTATGTGATGAAAATGTCTATGTGATGAATATGTGATGAATATGTTTGTCTACTGAGTCTACTGTACTTTGAATCCAGGAATGATCTCAGCTTTGGATTGGCTCTTTGTGGAATAGGCAGGAAGTCATTGCCAGCGGGTGCAGACTAGGGACAAGCCAATGGGCTGATAGGACATCGTATGACATTTGGATACATTTGGTGCAGTCAGTCTAGATTTAGATGCCCATAGTTTGCATGTCATGTGCGTTAATTATGCCTATGTATGTGTGCATACTTTTGCCAAGTTTTTCTCCGGGTTGTGGGGTTTTAGCACCGGGTTCAGAGGCATTTTGCTGGCTTGCGTCGCAGTCTGCAAAGCGCGGACGATCAAACTTGCCTTGACCAGCATCGAGGACGGTGTCACTGTTTGGCACGTTTTCACGATTCAAAAGATTTCGAAAGACAACACATCAATCTTTTACATTCTATTAAATTACCATCTATTAAATATACCATCTATATATTAGAATCTATTACCATCTATTACTTTATGATTACGATTTATTACTGTTTTCTTGATGTATTATCATGTATTATCCATGAGGCACGGGGTCACGGAGAGGTCCTGACACGTCCTGACAAGCATAGATCAGTACAGCTCACACGTTGAGTGACTCGACATGATTCAACCCAACGGCGTTACTTTTTGAAGCACTGGCCCCGGGTAGTGACCTTTGAGGTTGAATGCAACAGCAGAATGTAAGGCTGCAACAGCCACCTGTTGTGAGGCTTAGAATCTAAAAAAGGCTGCACAGGCAGAGGATGTAGAGGGCTGCTGTTCGAAAATGCCGATGCCACTATAAACAGTCCATGACGTAGTCGACGCTGCGCAAAGCGGGTTTTGAACTGCCCGCTTGCTTCCATGTGACATGAAGTGTGTAGTAGTCAAAGGCAAAGCTTTCAGGAAAGCGCAATCAGGCGTTTGTTTGGCAGTTTAAAGGATTGATTTGCATATCAAGAAGATTCTTGCGCAGTTGCCAAGAGCCCAAAGAATCCAAAAGGAAGATCGTGCAGCTCACAAGAAGTTCATACAAAGTTCTCAGAAAAAGACGTCCATTGAGTCAGAGTCCAACATCGTTCGCCATGGTCCATCATAGTCCATCAGTTCATTCGCGACCAGGAGGCGGCTGATTGTATCCGACAGATGCCTGTTCTATCTATCCAGCCTTGGATCAGCAGTGCGGTGACACTGTTGGTTTTCATCCCTGGAGTCATTGGTTTTTTGATGCTCAACATGTCCGGCGATTTGCCTAAGCAAGTTGATGCTCGCCACAGAGGATGTGTTCGTGTGACAAATGTGGTGTTTCATGTTGATTCTTGCAATTTGATGCGATTTGCAGAACCTGACACTTTGTGAGAACGAGATTCTCACGAATCTTTTTGACTGTGAAATGGTCGATCAGCATCACCTCCAGATTTTATGGCATATTTGGCGCTGTGATAATGTGGTCATTGTGCTGTCATTTGTCATCATTTGTCATCATTTGTCATCATCTGTCATCATCTGTCATCATTTGTCATCATTTGTCATTGCATTTCTGAAAATACCGAACATCAAGTCCCCTGGTGGGATCTTTCCAAGTCGTCTTGTCACCTGACGATACCTGAGGATTTGACCTCAGGACAACCTGTGTACAGTGGAGATCCGTTAGTGGCAATTTCTTTGATCTACTACTTGGTGATCTTCGTTTGGATTCTGGAGTTGCTGCATGCCATTTCCCAATTTGTGGTGATGTTTACAGTACCTTTGGCCATGTTCTTTGCATTTCAAGCTCCTCTTTTGGTTTGGAGAGGTTGGTTTGGAATCCTTGGGATTTCACACTTTCTTGCCGATGCCGAGTGAGATTTGTGAGCTGCACAGCTTGCAGTACTCCGTAGTACTCGGTAGGTTGTCTTTGTGCCCAGGCGCAGGTCTGGTACTTCCGGATGAAGGGCAGAGACGACAGTTTCTGGTCGCAGTTCAGCGGCTATGACCCTCGGCAAAGGAACTCGTTGAACAAAAATCATTTGCAGAGCATCTGCAAACAGTGTAAAGATATGATAAAGATATGTAAAGATGACTTAAAACTTAAAATGTTTGAAGATGTTTGAAGCACGTTCTGCCTGCAGTCGACATCAGTCGACCTGGCTGCGGACGTTCAAATTTGAAAGGCTTTGACAGCATGTTTTCTGGAAGAGCAATTTCCACCATTCAGATTCTTTTCTTGCAATGGTGTGCAAGGGTCACTATTTCAGATCACATGTTGAGTCACGTTGTCATATCACGTTGTTATGTTGTTATATCACGCTATGTCACGTTTGCAGAGGAATTTGTTATGCCCGCTACACTGAGGATATGCTTTATGGCTATCTCTACGCTGTTACCTACCACTTGGGCTCTTTGCTTTACGGCAGTTTCCTCTGCACTCTCTTCCGAGTGTTGCGGATGTTGGCGGCCATGCTGGTTCGTGCTTCAGAAGAGACGGGCAATCCAGTGGCAACATGTTTTCTGAGCCACGACGTTACAGAACGCCTTCGTAGGCGATTCGTTGTGTAATGTTGTGTAACTATGTGTAACTTAAACGCCAATTGAGGTTCACAATCTGACGTTAAAAGGAATATGGATGTTTCAGGAAGGATTCCCTTGGATCTCTGTGGTTCACAACATGAACATGGCGGGAAGAATGAGATAAAATTAAAGGCATGGGAGCACTATATGGAATTCACTGGCCTGTGTAGGAAGTCACAATGTCACCCAACCATGTGATATGTGCAGATATATACATGTACATAACATACATATTAAAATTTATTTAAATATAAAATAATATAAATAAATAAATATATATTATATATATATATATTTGGATTTATGCATGTATTCTATATAATCTGAATATATATATACAACATATGTATTCTGAATTTGTGTGTCTGTCTTCGGGGCTTCAGGCTGCATGCATATACTACATCCAAAATCACGGCCAATAATATGTGTTTTTTTCACTACCTTTTTGGCAGTTGTGTGGCTTTGTCTTGCGACCCCTGATTTTTTATTGTCTTGCATTGTTTTAGCATTTGCTTTCAGATATATAGGTGATTAAAAATCGATAAAAAATTGCTTGAAAAAAGCAAACGACTGACCACGGGAACGTTCTCCACGACCCTGAGGAAATGCTTCACATGCTGTCTGGCTTGCGCGGAGAAATTGGTGCGCTCCGTCACGAGCTTGTCATATTGCAACTCGGCAATGCTTCTCCACGGTTCACCCCAAAGCAAGTCTGGCACAGGTTCTTTGTCCCTTTTTGGGGGGGAAGAAGGCACGATTCTGTGGGCAAGAAACAGGTTGCAATGGCTTGGGCTCGAATCATTGAAAACTCAAGACGCTCATGCGATGACTACGGATTTTGTTTCGAAGGCAAATGGAATGGGATGGTGCTAATGGTTGTTCTTGTTACTGACATTTCTTTTTCCTCCAGTTGCCACAGTGTTGTTCCCTTCCTTCTCACAGCAGCAGCAGCACCAGCAGCAACAACAGCAGCAGTGAAACCAACAGACAACTGCGCTGAGCACTTGTAGCACTTCTTGGATCTTCTTGGAATTGCCGCACAATTATACAACATGTCACGGTATGTCACAGCAGACCAACCACAGGCAAACAATTCGTACAAACACCTCTTGAAAAACAAAAATATTTTGGACAAAGAACCGCGGAAAGGACATGAAAGGACCACGTTGCACAGAGACACCACACCTCCAGTGGTCAGGAAGACCTGACATGTCCCAGGTCCAGGTTAATTGGTGGATCATGTACAAGATATGTGTCAGAGATATTCAGAGATGTCTAACTCAGACCTACTATATGACATATACTATAACCTGATCTCACCTGATCTCACCTGATCTCACCTGATCTCACCTGATCTCACCTGATCTCACCTGACATGCATAAGTGAGTCAAGTCACTTTGGCTAAATAATGCCAAAAATGACCAAACATTGCCAAAATATTGCGAAGTCTTTGTCAACGCGGTCCCGAGTCCCAAGGTGATGTTGCGATGAATTCCACAACCTATTGTGAGGGAGCTGAGCATGCATTCAGGCACGAGTTCTCAAAGCCTGGTGGCTTTTTCTGGGCACAGCATTGTCACAGCAAAATCAAAGGATCACTTGGGCCTTACACCTGTGATAAAATATTCTCGCAGAGTTTGATGCTTTGAGAAGCTGTGCAATCTGAGTGCCACTGTAATGCTCTGACAATTAGGTACAATCCGTTTTCCGATGCAATGTGCTTTTGAGCCGGTTGGAGCCATTTTAATTTTTTGCAAAAACCAGCCAATGGCTGTGGCTGAAGTTTGTATTATCAAACATTTTTTGAATGTAGTGGGATGAAAGAGGGGTTTGGAGAGGGCAGGGGTTGATGGAAGGCATGACAAGTTCGAAATTAGGCCGTGAATAGTCCAACACATTGGAAGAATCGAAGAGCATCTACCAGAAGGCAGTTCTGTGACGCTGGATGTTACCCTGGTCCATGTGGGCTGGTCCTTGTGGATTGTGTGGGAGGGTCTGAGAAGAGGCCGGGGGAAACATGTACTCATAGATCAGGGAGGGACGGCCCGGCATGCTGATACAGGGCGATGTCGTGTGTGATGTTTGGTGTTGGATGTGTTGGCTATGCTTCTGTATAGCTGATTGAAAGGAAGTACTGTACTGGTACCGTTCAGTGACTCTCGTTTGGGCTGGGCATGCAGCCTTTTTGTGGAAAGTCATGGGGGTAATTGATTAGGCACGGTCGACGCAAACCACCTATATACATGGGATTTAAGCAAGGTGCTGTTCTGTTTCTTTTGTTTAGGCGGGCGCTCAGCTGTTCTTTCGATATGTCACGTAGATTGCACTGTCCAGATCGCATTGAATGCGGCTGTCAAACAGGTTATTTAAGATGATTTAAGTATGTTTAAGTAAGGTGCTGTTCAGTTTGGCGTGGACTGTTTCTTTATGTTTCTTTCGTTTTTTAGGGGGTGGGTAGTAACAATTGCCCGGATGTAGTTTTGAGTCATGTGGTGGTGGCGTCGAGTTTCAGGTGAGTCTCTTTGGATCGACCCTGAAGGTCTCTAGGACCCAAGGATGAGGGTCTCATATTTTTTTGGTATTTTGGTGTGTTTCGTGGTTTCTGTGTTTTTCTGATTCTGGGGTGTCTTGTATGGGAGGGCAAGAAACGAAATGGAAAATAACAGAAAGCAATATGGAACAATTCTGAGAGACTTACCTGAAACCCTCTTAAGCTGAAGAGTTTGGAAGTCTTATGTGCCTTTTTCACAGCGTTTGCTCAAAATGCAGCTAGGGGTATGCCGGGTACGCATAAGACAGGTCATTTGATCACCCCAAAAAACTGCACTCTGAGGATGTGCTGTCTGTAGAAATATGACCCGCACATAGCAACACAAGCCCGCTGCCCATGGCTGAATGAATACCACTGGTGGGAGAGCTTCACCGTACATGCCGTCCCTTGATGGTGGACGGCAAGATTTGTGGATCGCAACAGCATGCGAGAACTGTATGATGGGGGTGTCTCATCTGGAGGAATAGCAGGGAAGGGGGTAATAGGTTTTTGGTTGGGAGGAATAACGGGCCTAGAGTGATAGAGACTGTGCCGGTGCATGATATATAGATTGACTGCAAAAAAAGATTGCTGCTGTCTTTTGTGTCTCCCTTCTGAGGGGTTGGGTCCAAAGATGTGCCGTAGCTGTGTTGCGTGTATTGTTCCATGCCAGGCTTGTGCAACGCAATGGTGGTGCTTTGGTGGCTGTGGAAGGGCTCGCTATGGTCTTCTCTTTCGTTGGCATCATGTCTCCAAAAATGTGAAGTCGTGGACGAGACAAGACAGTGAATATTTTAGCTGCGTGGTCTCCTTTGTATCATTGCACATCATTCCACTCACGCAATCTTCAAAAAGATTATTTAAACATATTGAAACCACTTGAACAGAATTGAACTATATAGTTCTCCTTGGGAGTCCCTGCCAGCATTTGAGTTGGCTTTGGAAAGAGAGAGAGAGAGAGAGACAGCGTGCTCCCAAGGCATTGGGGTGGTCTCTGCCAGCATCTAAGCTGAGATTGGGAAAGGACGTGCACTGGAAGCCCTGGGTGCACTCGCAATGGTCACCATGGGATATCACGGGATAGGTTTGTGACAGGTGTGTCAAAGTTTGTCAAAGTATGCATTCAAAATGCATTCAAATAATGATCCATCAGTATCCAGCAGTTAGAAATAAACCCTCCAACCTCTAGTGAAACCTTTTCATGATTTTTGTGTGTTTCCCCATGACTTCCTTCAAAAAAGTTGATTCAAAAAAAACGTATCATCAGGGATGTGCGTATTTCATGGCAGTGAATGCTGCTATTTTGTCGTCTGCAAATCTGTGTGACATTGCCCTCATAGGCACAGCATCTCAGCAGTGAGGCGCTTTCAAGCAGCAAACCATGCTAAAAAGCCTGCACGTTTCGACGATTTTCGACGTTTGAAAAGAGATGGCTTAGGATACAAGAATCTAAGGTTTCCAGGAACTCTTTTGGGATGTGTAGGGCCCAGTAAATTTGATAGAAACTCTTCCGAGCCCCTCTACCAAAACGCTATTCAGGCATTTTCTACAAACTCTGTTTCAGGCATCTCCCTTCAAGACCTTCGTTGTGATCCAACCTGAGGTCTCAACATGAGGTTGCTTGATGAGGCTTGTTCCATGTCCCTTCAAGCTCTCTTTGTCGGATCTGTCTAGATCTCCACAAATGTAGGATCTCTAAAAAGATTAAAACGGATTTCAGGGGCCTCCTCAAGGATGTTCACAAAGCATTATCCCTTTGCAAAAACCCTCAAGATTTTTTTCAAAAGATAAACGTCAGGAATAGAATTCCTTTGGAACAGTTACTGATAGTTCCTGGGGCCTTTTGCCATCTCCTGGGCGGACCTCTTCATCAGGTCTGTTTATTTAAAGGTCTTTTGACAGGTCTCAGCAACGGGTCTTCGGCAAGTCTCTTCAAGACCTCTTGCAAAAAAATATTCAAAGGAAATTCAGAAAAACAACTTCCAAGTTATGAGCAAGCAGAATTGTCAATTAATTTCGGAGATTTTCAGAGTAGTTTATAATTTCAGAGATTTTCAGAGTAGTTTATAGCCAAGAATTCAAATCCACCATACGTGTAATCAGGCAGCAAAGTAATGTGTTGTGGCATAGTCCAATAGCAAAGTATGCAGTAGGGAAGAAACAATGCAGTCTCTCGAAGAGAGTATAGAGAGTGCGAGGAAGCGCACAAAATGTTGAATTGTTTTGAGACTTTGCGTGGGCTACGGCATGAAAGGAATACATTGTTTTTGCCTTGGATATACTTCGGAGATACTATTTCAGCACGGAACACCGGGTGTAATACAAATGCGATTACAAAGTGCCAACATAAATTGGGAATTACTCGAGTGAGATCTATGGCTCTTATGACCATGACATCCCTCAACATGACTGATTCATGGCTCAAATGAAAAAGGAGCAGCATTCGAGAGGGTTTTAATAGTTCTAATTCAAGGGTCCCCACGGTGCAACTCATGCGCTTGCAGAAGCTGAAGAACGGCAATTGAAATGAAGACTTTGAAAACCTTCAGGGCAACTGCGATACAAATCAAACATGACAAAAAACAGCACCATGTACAAAACCACACACACTGGTCCGATGCTAAATAGAATGCGCAGAGTATCATGGCTAAGATGTTCAACTATTCACATCCATTTATACAATCGCAAACAACCTTTGCACGTATAGCCCGGAAAATCACACACATCGGAGAAATAATGGGAGAACTCAAAAAAGTGGAAGTAAGCAAGCTGTGGCAACCTCAGACATTGCGAAACCAAAACCAGGGACTCAAGAAATGATGACTCCAAAGTGTGAGTTCACAGGGCCATGAAACATAGGGACTCAAGGGAAAAAGGAAATGAAACATAGTGAACTCAAAAATGGGAACTGGTTGGAGATTAACCTTCAAGAAAAGGGAAAAAATGCGGAACTTATTATATAAGGGAGGGAAGATGTGAGAAGCAAAAACACAGGTCATCAATGGGGTTGAAGCATTGGAAAGTCACTGGAGCGTACAGAAATTGCAAAAGGAGCGAATAATGGGAGCCAAGAGGCCATACGCTTTCAAAAGCAAAGTGTTTTAAGCACAGGCTTCGTAATGCAAGTGCTTCGCGCAGAAGAAGGTGTGTGGCATCACAAGTGTAATAGCATACCCTTGTTCTTATCATCCACCGGATATGAGAATCAGTCTCACGCTTGATTAATTATGCTATTACCCCAGACCTTCTCACCTAGCATCACATGCATGTTCATTTGACACTCAAAACCTGGAACATTGCAGCATACTGCATGTTGTGAAACATCATCCAAACGTAAAGAACATTGCACATATCGGACATTGTGCTTGTGAATAGTTTGAATACTCGGCGAATGAAGCGATACTGTTGGACTGAGACTGGGCAATAGCGAAAACAACACATGATTTTAAACACACATGTAAATGGCAAATCATCCATGCAAATCCAATCAATGCGTATACACTGCGTATACTACTAAGCTTACATATTTTCCGTGCATAATTATTCCAGAGACAAGGTCGCCGAAGAATGCGATTCCTCAACCTGCACGGGTAGTGATCCTCTCCTGTTGGAACCTCTCGTGTGCGACAAAATCGTTCAACTTCAATTGTTCATCTCCTGATTTGTATGCTTCGCATGAATCTGCATTCACTTGATCCTGTTGGTTTTCGTAATTAGATTCAATTCCTCAGTGACAATCCCACTCAAAGATGCCAACACACAAACAAACCACAACCAAGGCAAACCCAAAAGGCTGCAAATAATGCCGTAAAACAAATGAATTGATCCGCCCTGCGTTGCATTCTGATTCTGACATATTTTGACACTGCATTGCTACAGATGGGCTGCTACAGATCGGCAGGGAAGAAAAGAGTTTGCAGTTTCATCCTCAGCAAGTCCCGGGAAGTTTACTATGAACATATTTGAGCCTGTAACCGGAAGCAACTCTGATTCCAAAATGTATCGGGACAATTGTTTTGACCCAATACAGGGGCGCTAGACAAACGCTTCCTTTCCCATTGTGGTGGAATCGCCTTCAAGTATTTTGTAGTGGGCCCTGAGGGCTGGTGCAAAGTGAGAAGTCTTGGCACGGGTTTCCCTTTAATTCGGTTCATTCTATGGGTTCTGGATGGCCACTGGGCACGGCATGATATCGAAGCTACCTGAAGACATCAGTATTTTTTTGGGGTGGATGACCAGGAGACTTGAAGGAAGCTTCCCTTTTTTGAAGAACTTTTGCAACGTTTCCAGACAGAGACATGATGATTTCTCTGCACAATATTTTTACTTTGCTCTATTTCGTGTATTTCGTATTATTTCGTCGTACGTTACGCATATTTCGCGTATTTCGTATGTCGTAGTTGCTGAAAGGTCCCAGTCGGTCTTTTTTTGGCGTAGCTCACAGCCAAATGACGCACATGGTCCTGAACTCACCTTTCATTTGCCAGGCACAGCTGCCACTTGTTGGATGATGAGCAGCTCGGTGGTTTTCCCCGTCACCGTTTGTTGCAAATCTCTGTTGGCTGTTTGGAATGTGGCACAATCGAGACCAACAGCTGAAGCCGATTGAAGATGAGTCAAAATGATTCAAGATGATTCAAGCCATTCATTCAAAAGCAAGACAGCTGCATGCAGCTTCGGCCCAGACTGTGACTGAATTTCATTGATCACAAAGTTTGACACTTGAAGCGGTTCAGATGGTCGTGAATTTATCCTTAAGTTTGCAAGTGCAAGGACACTTGAAAAACCAAGAGACACTCACAGCGTGTTCCTTAGTTCTAACAGTTCTAAAGTGCTTCAATCAGATTAATTACGGAGATTCCTTGTGTAAAAGTCTTAAGTGGGATCATTTTCGGCTGGATCTTTGGCGTGAGATATTTGTTGAAAGACAAACGCAATTTGCCTATTGGGAATCGAAGGAAACCCTCTGAGGTAATACCTTCGATCGGTACAGCAACCCCATGAGCAATCACTATGTGCCAGACACTCAGCGTTGGCCATTTCATGAGAGCATCGAGGAGTCTTCAGCACAGTTTGATCACCCAATGATCAAAAGTTGCCTCTCTTTTTCAAGTCAAAAGCCCAATGATGATCAATGATGTATGTATGACTCATATGTACTTTTGCAAGGCCGGACAAACAGATGTTGATGTTCCTTCATGCGCTGATTGGTTGCCTATCTGCACTTATTTGCACTGATCTCCATTCATGATGCATTTGCATGCATTTGCCATGTTTCGCACTCTGTCGCATTGCATGAAGTTGATGTGCTGTAGGTTATAGCATGTTACAGCCATTTCTGTCACTTTGTGATAGGTGCTGCGATCGCCATTCCCTTTATGCACTTGTTTGACAGCATTTGTGACTCTTAGCCGAAACATTGTGGCAGCTTCAAACATTCTATGTTTTCGATGGCACAGCTAATGCACTGAAACTGCGAACAAGTGATCAGCCTAGAATCCATCTGATGTGAATCTCTACACCATGTATATCACGGTTTAATCGTACTGGCACAAGCATTTCAGTTTCCAAATTATACCTGAAATTTTAGGTTCGATAATTTTGGATGTTCCAAGATGTTACAAGCTCGCCATGGCCACATGGCCATGGGCCTAGGATGCTATCGTTTACTGCAACGCTGCAGTATCCTTCCAATTACCGAGCTCATGGGGATCATCTGGTGGCCTCTTCGGTTGGTTTTCAGGCCACTAAGACAGGCAGGACTCCACTCCGCAGCTTCTCTCCTTGCCAGGAGGGTTATGGACAGTGTATGACAGTCAGACAGTGTATGGTGGGATCTCTGCATATCAAGAATGGTTCATGATAGCTTGACTCTGTCGGCGCAGGTGTTTGGGGGTGTGAGCACATTTTTCTGAAGCAAGCAGCTTGGCTCACTATTGCCCATAGTTTCTTACGACTTGCGCTTTACAGATCATCTCCTCTCATCACACTTGACATCATTAATTATATAGCATCAAGTGGCATCACTTGTCATCAGTGATCATTGCTAGTCGTCACTAATCGTCATTTGTCCATTTGTCATAGCTTGTCATCGTTTAGCATCACTTCTCATCGTCACTCGCTATCACTAATCACCACTTGTCATCACTTATCATCACGGGGTGGGATTCGCAAGATTTTTGTTGTTTGTGTTTTTGAAATCAATGTGTGCTTTTGTTCTTTGGGGTTTGTGGGGGAACAGAGGCCCCCGTTTGTATTTGATTTCCTGGGTGCGTCCCCACAGCAGGCATGACCGTGTCGTGTTGTCTTTACAAGTTATAAGTCTCAGCTTCTAGACAAAAGGGTCCCTTCTGTTTGTGTTTGATGCAGGCATACAGGTCCCATATGCAGTTATTTGCAGACTGAGTCTTTTCTTCCCCATGTGATGATTGTGATGCCACATATATTGACGGATCTTAACGTCCCTACTCAAGGTTATATAATCATGTGTTTCTCCTCACCCCAGGTACCTTTCGTTCACCCACGCCTCAAGTCTTATCAACTCTTCAAATAAGAAATGTTCACGCTTGTTACAGCGACAAAGCTGAAGTGTTTTGGCATGTTTTGGCAGTTACTTCATGAGTAATAACAACATGATGAATTGCGCCAGCTCTTCCTCAAGATTGTTGGCAAGATTCCTGTGTGATTGCATGTGTTTAAGACGTTTTAAGACAGTAATTGTGATGTTTGAAGATTATACATTGATTTGAAGATCATACTTTAGAAGACTTTAGATTTCTTTAAGAAATTTAAAGGTCATCAGCTGGGAGAGAGGTGGCACTGGTCCATTTCCCTTCGCAGTCTTGGAATTTGCAATGCCTTTGATGGTTGTTTTGCAATCTTGGAATTCTCGTCCTTCTTGGTACTACTTGTCGTTCTGTGATCACCATGAAATTGTCTGCTCTTGATGACCATGATGACCACCACAACTACCGTTTTGTTTGTGGTCACGAACTTTAGAACATGCTCGGTTCAAGCTGGTGGCATGCTCTGCAGAAGCTCTAAAAAGCATGAAGGCATGCCAATCTTTGTCAAAGATTCGAGTGTGAAACGATGCCAAACAGAAGAGCATTGAATTCAAGGTGCAAGAAGCAGATCGATGCAGACCGATGCAGATCTGAGGTTCTCCTGCGCCTCGGTTTCACCGTTTCACAGCACCCGACAGCTCTCGAGGGCCCAAAGACGGTCCACAGCTCGCCACGCGCACATCACAAGCCCATCACGAGCCGTTTGCCAAAGGGCACGTTGCCAAAGGGTACGCTTTCCAATGCCGGCGAGGTCAAAAATGTTGGATTTCGATGGAATTTGGTGGCGAGATTCGGTTTAACCACTTGGTATATCTTGGGATTGATTCTTATGTCAATGTATGTATGTCATTATATGTCTATGTTTTTGAATCACAAAAAGACTACGTTGCATAATGTGGTGTCAATGGTGCTGGGTCCATTTCTCATGTCCTCTGTGGTTGAAACATGTTGAAACACTGAAATCTGCCTCTGGCGTTTAGGGATGTTCTGGTTGAAATCCTTTGCATGATAGAAGGTGGACCTACAGCTCGGGTCCTGTTCTTTGGTTGTAGGCATCCTGAAATGGTTGTAAGAAAAAGAGCATGTGCAAAGGTTGTAAGGACAGCAGCATCAGGTTTTATTGGGAGGGCTTGTAAGACGTTGTAAGATGCTGGAAGCATCCTGTTGTCCTTCTGGTGTCCTTTGGATTTCATGTGTATAGAATTGTATAGATGTGTATACAGTAGGGCCTATAGGGCTTCTCAAGGCCATTCACGTGGTAAATCCGCAAAGTAGAAGTAGTTCAACCTGGTGAACTTTCCGCCGTACTGCCGGATCCATCCCAATGCAGTTTGATGGTTGCTGCATGTTGCTGCCTTGCATTGCATGGCGAGGTTATGCGAGGTTCAGATGGTTGAGTTTCTGACAGTTTCTCCCAAGTACGTGATACAGAAATGGCATTAAAACGATCGTGATGTACACATATGTACACATGTTTGCTTCCAATGTCCATAATGGAAACAACGGGCCCATGGCATCCCATGGCTCCCTTTACAATTCCATGGTAATCTCATGGCATCCCAGGGCCATAAGAGATCCAAAAGTGAAATAGCCAGGCTGGAGAGCGACCGAGCGAAGGGATTGAACACGAGAACATTCCCGAGACTTGTCCGGTCATTTCAATCGACAAGGAGCGGCTCCATGACTAAAGCTGAGCAAAGCTGAGCAAAGCTGTCTCAATTCCAAACGATTCCAAACGATTTGTCACAGTTTGATACAGTACGTCTATACTACGTATGGTGCTTCCATTTGCCAAGCCTTCTACCTTAAGGGGCCTTTACAGCTAAACTTGACTCAGATCCCTTTAGGGATCCCGCTTGGTGTAAGCTCATGTAAGCTCATGTAAGCTTACTTCTTTTCACTTCTCTTCACTTCTCCCGTCTCTTTTCGGTCTTCCATTCTGAATGGAATCAGAGATGCTTCACTAGGATCCGTCCGCACAACAGAAGGACGCTGATCCGTCCCTGGAGCAGAAGGACGCTCTTCCTGGAGAGTACACGCAGTGCACATTTGTCAGATTCTGTGAGATATTTGGAATATTTTGGAATGAATACACTCAATACACCACAACACAATCAACACACCATTGCGGCAGAATTGCGGCAGAATTGCGGCAGAAGGGATACACCGCACAGAGATACAGAGAGACTCATAGAGCACGGTGCCAGGAGACATCTGATGAGAAGGTCACTGAGGAGGCTGGATCAAACGGCCTTGACTTTGTTGATCTTTGTTGAGAAATGTTGACTACGTCGGACTCAACGGAGAGGAAACAACGGAGAAGTGTAGTGATGTACATTGGCATCCTTGCGATGGAAGCAGTTGACTCTGTTTGAAGGCAGGTAAACTAATTGTAGACTAACACGTGAAAATATGTAACTATACGATATACGCCAATTATATATAAATATGTAATACACAGCTGGTGTATATAGTATCTAGATCTACTTGGCATTGATTTTGACGTACTTGTACGGTAGTACGGAGTGTAACATGATAGTGATTGCCAAGACCGTTTTCATAGCACATCCGAACCCTCGCAAAGTGTTTGTTTCGGGTTCTCAGAATAAAACTGGCCGCGATATTTGCGTGAAACTTGAGTATGTCAATGAATCATCGGTAAATACTTGTCGGAATATTTTCGCGAAAGTGACGCGAAGGAGCGGGCAAAAAAATCGAAAGTGCGTTCTGCAGGGGCTGTTAATAGTAAACCTTTCAAATACAAGGCCAATAGGCCAATAAGCGATAATGCGTCGAGCGAAGGGATTGAACACGAGAACATTCCCGAGACTTGTCCGGTCATTTCAATCGACAAGGAGCGGCTCCATGACTAAAGCTGAGCAAAGCTGAGCAAAGCTGTCTCAATTCCAAACGATTCCAAACGATTTGTCACAGTTTGATACAGTACGTCTATACTACGTATGGTGCTTCCATTTGCCAAGCCTTCTACCTTAAGGGGCCTTTACAGCTAAACTTGACTCAGATCCCTTTAGGGATCCCGCTTGGTGTAAGCTCATGTAAGCTCATGTAAGCTTACTTCTTTTCACTTCTCTTCACTTCTCCCGTCTCTTTTCGGTCTTCCATTCTGAATGGAATCAGAGATGCTTCACTAGGATCCGTCCGCACAACAGAAGGACGCTGATCCGTCCCTGGAGCAGAAGGACGCTCTTCCTGGAGAGTACACGCAGTGCACATTTGTCAGATTCTGTGAGATATTTGGAATATTTTGGAATGAATACACTCAATACACCACAACACAATCAACACACCATTGCGGCAGAATTGCGGCAGAATTGCGGCAGAAGGGATACACCGCACAGAGATACAGAGAGACTCATAGAGCACGGTGCCAGGAGACATCTGATGAGAAGGTCACTGAGGAGGCTGGATCAAACGGCCTTGACTTTGTTGATCTTTGTTGAGAAATGTTGACTACGTCGGACTCAACGAAGAGGAAACAACGGAGAAGTGTAGTGATGTACATTGGCATCCTTGCGATGGAAGCAGTTGACTCTGTTCGAAGGCAGGTAAACTAATTGTAGACTAACACGTGAAAATATGTAACTATACGATATACGCCAATTATATATAAATATATATATATAATACACAGCTGGTGTATATAGTATCTATTTGTAGATCTACTTGGCATTGATTTTGACGTACTTGTACAGTAGTACGGAGTGTAACATGATAGTGATTGCCAAGACCGTTTTCATAGCACATCCGAACCCTCGCAAAGTGTTTGTTTCGGGTTCTCAGAATAAAACTGGCCGCGATATTTGCGTGAAACTTGAGTATGTCAATGAATCATCGGTAAATACTTGTCGGGATATTTTCGCGAAAGTGACGCGAAGGAGCGGGCAAAAAAATCGAAAGTGCGTTCTGCAGGGGCTGTTAATAGTAAACCTGTATCATCAAACAACCATTAAATTTTGGTCGTTTTGGTTTTCTGCCCGTTTCAGAAAATGATGGTAATTCTGCCCGGCTTGGGCCATTTCTGCCCGATCCCAACTTTTCTGCCATGTCTTATTTCCACACGTGGAGTCTCTTGCCACATCACATCAAATCATCCAACCTTCAGCAATTCCTGCCGGTAAAGGTACAAACACTTCTGTGTTGCTACTGTATATAAAAAGCAGGTGGTGACATGAACGTGACAACCGTGAACATCTTCCGATGTGATCTTCGTCTTGCCAACACCCCCAGCCTCAGTCACTGGGCCATACCAAAGAAAATCATCTTAAGATATCCCTAACTGAAAAGCACTTCTACTGCTCAAACGTAGAACAGGGCCTCATGAAGAAGAATCTGATCCACTAAGTGTGTTGAAGAGCATCCCAAGAATGGCTACAGCTATGCAGCCAGCAATCAACCCTCTTGGTGTGTCTGCGGGTGGCTGACCCGCTTTGCTGACCCGCTTTGCTAAATCAAAAGAATTTGCCATTTAAACCTAGCTTTGCTGCGATAAAATACATTTTGTCAAAACACATCAGGGCAGAAATCCTGATTTGCGCCCGTTTGCGGGTTTTTGTGTGCGGATTGCGGGCTTTTGCGCCCGATTTGCGGGGCAGTTTTGGTCTGGAAAAAATTGAAAATTGACGATTTGCTGTTTTGCGGGGAGTTGCCGTCCCAAATCTGCGGCATGAATACGTGTGAATCATACGTGTTTTGCATGACTGCCTTAGGTCTGGTGAATAACGCCAAATAAATAGTTGTATGCGTGAAGTCCCACACGCAAACAAACACACACCTGTCTCAAATGGTACAGCTTTGCGAGCCAGAATCTGAACAACACGTGTCATACAGCATTGAAATTTCTGCCAATTGGCATCCAATCCCTGAACAATGCACCACCCCTGCAAAGAATAAAAGACAAAGCATAGCGGGGGGCTCAGGCCTGAAAGCGCAGGCCCCATGAATCCAGTCAAACACGTCAGGGGTCAATCAGTGCCACAAGTGTAGCTATGGTGAAAGAAAGTGAAGTTATGGGATGGGACACCATGGAAACACATAGAAAATTAGATTTCAGCCAGATTTCTGCCATTTTGGGTCGTTTGGGTTGAATTGCCCGATCTGACCCGAAATAGATCAATTGGCTAAAAACATCTAAAAACAGGGTCATTGACCAAAACAACCTTTTTTTTCTGCTCGTTTGCTGGTCCAGGAACCTTTCAAATACAAGGCCAATAGGCCAATAAGCGATAATGCGTCGAGCGAAGGGATTGAATACGAGAACATTCCCGAGACTTGTCCGGTCATTTCAATCGACAAGGAGCGGCTCCATGACTAAAGCTGAGCAAAGCTGTCTCAATTCCAAACGATTCCAAACGATTTGTCACAGTTTGATACAGTTTGTCTAATGGTGCTTCCATTTGCCAAGCCTTCTACCTTAAGGGGCCTTTACAGCTAAACTTGACTCAGATACTCAGATCCCTTTAGGGATCCCGCTTGGTGTAAGCTCATGTAAGCTCATGTAAGCTTACTTCTTTTCACTTCTCCCGTCTCTTTTTGGTCTTCCATTCTGAATGGAATCAGAGATGCTTCACTAGGATCCGTCCGCACAACAGAAGGACGCTGATCCGTCCCTGGAGCAGAAGGACGATCTTCCTGGAGAGTACGCGCAGTGCACATTTGTCAGATTCTGTGAGATATTTGGAATATTTTGGAATGAATACACTCAATACACCACAACACAATCAGCACACCATTGCGGCAAATTGCGGCAGAATTGCGGCAGAATGGATACACCACACAGAGATACAGAGAGACTCATAGACTCATAGACTCATAGAGCACGGTGCCAGGAGACATCTGATGAGAAGGTCACTGAGGAGGCTGGATCAAACGGCCTTGACTTTGTTGAGAAATGTTGACTACGACGGACTCAACGGAGAGGAAACAACGGAGAAGTGTAGTGATGTACATTGGCATCCTTGCGATGGAAGCAGTTGACTCTGTTTGAAGGCAGGTAAACTAATTGTAGACTAACACGTGAAAATATGTAACTATACGATATACGCCAATTATATATATAAATATATATACATACACAGCTGGTGTATATAGTATCTATCTGTATATCTACTTGGCATTGATTTTGACGTATATACTTGTACGGTAGTACGGAGTGTAACATTATAGTGATTGCCAAGACTGTTCATAGCACATCCGAACCCTCGCAAAGTGTTTGTTTCGGGTTCTCAGAATAAAACTGGCCGCGATATTTGCGTGAAACTTGAGTATGTCAATGAATCATCGGTAAATACTTGTCGGAATATTTTCGCGAAAGTGACGCGAAGGAGCGGGCGAAATCGAAAGTGCGTTCTGCAGGGGCTGTCAGTAAGCCTTTCAAATACAAGGCACCGATAAGCGATAATACATCCAGCGAAGGAAGTCTGTGATGTTACCTGCAAAACCGCTGTAAGGAACAGTTCCCTATGCTCGAAGAAATACACGACATGTAGCGCCTGCGTGTCCAAGCTCTTGGCATGGGTTTGGGCTGGAAATTGCAGCGCATGATTCTGAAAGACATTGGAATCCAAATTGAATTACAATCCCAACTTAATTCAATTAGCATTGGCGACAAGTCTGGGCCCTGTGATAAACCTCTGCAGCAACTAACCTTGTTCTGGACCTACAGTGTTGACCTGCGAAGCTCTTACCACCGATGCAAAATGGCCAGTCAGATGTTGCTTGATTCGACAGGGGCCTGATCTCTGTTTTCACGTGTTCTTTGTTGTTCTCTTGGCTTTACCCTAGCCTTAGCATTGGCTCACATGCTCTGTGCCAAAATCAAACTGCCCCAGTCTTGAAAGTGGCTGCAGTATGCATTAAAAGCCGTCACTGATTTGATATTAGGTCACTCTTAGTTTGGCTGCCACGTTCGTGGGTAGTGCAGGCGCATGCTCTTGCAGCTATTATGCCGCTCTCCCCTTTTCGACCTGAGGACTACAACTTCTCCACCAAAAGGTTGGCAGATAGTAGGATACTCGTAGGAGAAGGATAGTCGGATAGTTGAGGATGTATATTTGGCTTGATGTGAGGGCTCCCTGGGCTCATCAGGGCCAGCGCTACATCCACAGCGGACTCAAGTTGGGGTCCGGCTGTTCCTCTTTGGTCCTCGGTTGTTGACCTTTCTGTCGACCCATGTCGGACCAGTCATCCGATGCCGTGGCTGACTGTCAAACCACATATCTTTTGCACCAAATGCTGTACGTTTGAATCGTGACTGACCATGTGGAGCTTCCAATCCTTGGAAGCACATTGCTGCGCTACTGCGAAGACTGCGAAAGTGAACTGGACTGGAGTAATGGGTGCAGACGATCTTCAGTTGACCCTTCAAAACGAAAAAGAGTTGCTACTTAACTTATTATTGTAGCTTCGGCGTCAAGGTGCTGTTCCAAGGGTCACAGACTGGGCGCTTCAGAGTTCGCGAATACTCTCGCAACGTGGCAAGCGGGCAGGCGCAGCATTGGACAGGCCAGGTGCCATTTAGGGTTCAGGCGCAGTACATGGCAGAGGTTTCTGCTGTTGCAGCGTGTGATATCGCACGGGAGGTGCAGTACTTGGGGATACTCTACACAAGTCTTCTAAAGAGAGAGAGAGAGGGAGAACGGAAAAATCCATAAAAATCCTGCCCAGTCAGAGTCTTGCGTTAGTGTTCTGAATTACAGTAATGCTCTGCATATACTACAAAAGGGGGTTGTAAAAGAGTGTCCTGCTGGAGTGCTCTCAAAGAATATTCCGCAAGAGAGTGCTGTCTCACAATGTCTTCCAAAAGAATGTTGTGCGTGGGTGTTTTGCAAATTTTTGCAAGAGTGCTGTCAAAGAATATTCCACGAGGGCGTGCCCAGGGTGAGTGCAGCTCCAGAAAAGTCTTCCAAACGATTTCTGCAGGAATGTTGCAGAGACATGCAGACACATGTTGCCGAGCTGTAGAGACATTACTAGACGCATATCGCAAACACATGTTGAAGACAAGTGTTGCAAGATCATATTGTAGACTCATGTTGCACACCGATATGTGTTGCAAACATTTGCAAACACAATCAAACACATGTTGTAGACACATATGTTCCCTAGCAGGGTGGGAGGCTGCATTCGGGTTCATGATTTCAATCTTGTTTTGTCCGAGTCTTTTGGGCCTTTGGACTTTGGACCAATCAAAAACTATATAAATCATTCCATGATATTTACAAGTGGTTTGAAGTGTCGATTGCGGAAACATGTTTGCCATGAAGCTGTATATAGACGTGGTGCAAATGGTAATTATCAGGAAGAGTTGGAAGATCCGAGCAGTGCCAGTGATTAGTCAAGCGTTGGGAGGTTGTCAGTGTTATTGCATGTGCGCACGATACTTGTCGTGGAGCTACAGACAACACTATCAATGGGAGGGTAATTTAATTCGGTTTTTTTTTTGGGGGGGGGGATTTTTTTTTTTTGGTCCTGGCTCCTGGTGCCTTCTGTGGCTTCTGTGGCTCCTGGTGGCTCCTGGTGGCTTCTGCGGCTTCTGTGGCTTCTATGGCTCCTGGCTCCTAGAGCTCCTCGCTCCTATGGCTCATTTATCATCTATCGATCAATCTATCAGTGAAGCATGTTCACCAGGTGTATGTTGTGCATTAGATACACCTTGAGTAGCATCTATCTATCTATCCATCCATCGATCTATCTGTCTATCTATCTATCTAACTATCTCTCTATGTGATTCTATCTATATCATTCTATATCTATCTATATCTGTATCTATATCTATATCTATATCTATCTATATCTATTTCTATCTATATCTACGTATCTATATCTATCTATATCTATCTATATCTGTATCTATATCTATATCCATCTATATCTATCTATATCCATCTATATCTATCTATATCTACGTATCTATATCTATCTATATCTATCTATATCTACGTATCTATATCTATCTATATCTATCTATATCTGTATCTATGGCTGTATCTATATATCTATATATCTATATATATATATATCTATATATCTATATAATTATCTATATATCTATATAATTATCTATATATCTATATATCTTTAAATCTATATATATATATCTATATTTATATATCTATTTATATATATATATATTTATATCTATATCTATCTAAAGGTTTGCATTATCATCGGGATGATATTCAAACCCCAAGCCAACCCTGAACCAAACCTTATATAAAGAGATCTTAAACCAACTCGATGATAACATCAAATGAAACTATTGTGCATCGTTGTGCCTTAACCTACATTCCACATGTTTCCAAGGTGCATGTCGTGTAGTATATACACCTTGAGTATCACATTCAACCCAGCACCTTGCATGTGAAAATAGGTGTTTCCAATCTGCTTTGGGGGGGAGGCGCTGCGCCCTTGTTTTTGTTTCGACCTAATACCTACACAGGTACATGCATGAGTATTGAGCACATTTATATGCGCCCTTCAAGGCTCAAGAGGTATATAGAGTAACCCTGTAGACAAGCACGGACCGGCAACAGGCTGAGTAAAACAAGTGCTGTCATTGGGGAAGACGCCTTAGCTGATCTTGAAGTAGACGCTAGGGCCCCTCTTCAAGTGGTAGCGGAGCTGTGATCCCTCATTGAGGGTGAGCTCCAGGTAGAGCCCAAGCAATGGCAAGCCATGGCTATGATGATGATGACTTCGACATTGTCGATGCAAATGAATGGAACCAATATGACTCTTATGCAATGAGAAGAGCACCCCAGCAGACACAGATTCATATGACGCAACAAATGACCACAAAGGTAGCTCCAGCATATGATGGGAGAACCAGCTTCTTTGCTTTTGAGGATGCAATCGATGACTGGTGTGACATTACGGAGTTAGAACCAGAGAAACGTGGTCCAGCCTTGCGCAATAGACTGGAAGGAGATGCTCAACAATACAAGAGACTATTGGATAGAGAAATGCTCAGGGATCCCTATGAAGGAGTAGCTTATTTCAAAAGATTTCTACGACCTCATTTTATCAAAGGTGCCCAGAACGTGTTCTTATACCGTTTCATGCAGTTCATGAAGTTCAATAGAGGAACCATGGATCTTCAGAAGTGGATGACTAGATTTCAACTCACTGGCAATAGACTTATTGAGTCTTGGATGGATTTACTTCCAGAAGTAACAGTGACTAGTCCTGAAGCAATCCTGTTTGTTCAGCAACGACGTCAAGAACATGAACGAGATCAACAAGAGAGAGCTGATGTAGCAGCAGCCTCAGGAACACCCCATGTACCTGTTCCTTGGTCAGATGAACTGGCACTAGCGGCATTCAGACAATTTCAGGAAAATCGTAGACAAGTACAGCGACAAGCATTCCCACTGGGTGAAAATTTGCTAGCATTGATTTTTGTAAGTCTAGCTGACCTGAGTCAAGATCAGAGAGATACACTCACAAGTATCATGACACATCGGGGACGAACCCTCGATCAATACAACATTCAAGAACTACGTGACCTGTTTTTGGAAATGTTTTGCACTACCAAAACAGCAGTTGACAATCCATTGATGCAACCCTCTGGCATGGCACAGAGAAGATCTTTCCTCGTACTGGATGAAGGGGAATTAGAAGGAACCGACGGCTATTGGGCCGAAGATGAAGAAGACGGCGCAGAAGGATTCCTGGATGCTTTAGAAGATTTTTTCTGGGTTTATGATGACGCCAACTTTACATGGTATCAGAGAAGGTTCCAAGGCAAATACATCAGACGAGGCAAAGGTAAAGGAAAGAGAAAAGGAAAAGGAAAAGGCAGAGGAGGACGAAGGTTCTTCAGATCAAGAAAAGGAAAAGGCCGAGGTAAAGGAAGAAGAAAAGGCCGTGCTCACATGGTGAGTGAAGAAGGTTATGAAGAAGATTGGCAAGAAGATGAATGGAATGAAAACTATGACGGCTATTGGGCCGATGATCAAACCTGGAATGAAGGCTATTGGGCCTATGATGATTCATACTACATGGATGAGTATGGATACTTCCAGAGGAAAGGAAAAGGAAAAGGAAAAGGAAAGAAAGGCAAGAAAGGCAAGGATGATGATGGCAAAGGAGGAAAGCCAGGAGATGGAAAAGGCAAGTCGAACTATGTTCAACCTCAGACCACATCAGTTCCTGCCATACAGAATCAACAAACTCAACAAGCTCATTATTCTTCTGCTGCATCAAGTTCTGGTCATGGTTTCTTTGCATTTGGAAGAACTGACCCATTACGTGTTGATGTTGCAGAGACACGTGTTGATGTTTTGACATCCACGTATGAACAACGAAAAGATTCCCTGTTCTGGTTGGAGAAGTTGATGCACTTCGACAAGGTGTACAACGACGTCCAGCTCGTGTGACCAGGCAAGTTGGTCTTCAAGAAGGTGAGGCTTCATGGAAGCCATTGGCAAAAGGCACATCATTGTTTTCATATGGATGCTCTACAGAGATAGAGGAACCATCACAGCAGAGTGCTTTTTCATTTCATACTGTACAAACTGATCTGGCATGTGAGAATGGACTAGCTTTTCACACAGAGAATTCTGCACCACCAACTGTGTGTATTCTAGATCTTGGATGCACAAGAGCTATGGGCTCTCGACGAGCAGTTGAAGCATTTTGCAAATATGTTGGCTCACATCCCAACAGTGGACTCTGGTATGAAATTCAGCCAACAAGTTCAAGATTCTTCTTTGCAAATTCACAACAATCAAAATGTACTGAGAAGCTCGTGATATTCATGTATGATCATGGATGGAACACTC